AAACCACTGTTTCAAAGATTGCAGATTCTTACAGTGTGTGACCTAATTATCTTTGAAAGCGTAATTTTTTTGCAAAATAGTCAAATTCTTTCGATGATTATCTACAGAATTCAGTGCCAAAGCTGCTTACTCTTCAATGATTGCCTGGTATGTTTCCTGGTCGCTTCTTCATCCCTTTTTTTTTTGGTAACTGTTACATTTTACCAATGATTTTACCTCAATGATTTTATGTAAGCTTAGTACTCCTGCTGAGCTGTCATTGTATTTGTATTTGTATTATGGTATTATTATTCATATTGTTGTAGCATTAGATATGATTTGTGATCAATGCCATTATGGCTGCCCTGTACTTTTTCTGTATGTATTTGATCAATAAATTGGATTGAATTGAATGTGTATAGATAAACAAACGCCAGAAACCAAAATATTCCATGCATACAAACACTATCGGAGGTGGGTAAAAAGTCATCCGAAGTAAATGATGTAGAAGATGCCATCTCAACTCTAACCAAAAAGTTATACAGTTCCATAGACAGTAAAAAACCTACATTGGCAATATTTATAGATCTAGCGAAGGCTTTCGATACTATTTGTCACAAAATCCTACTAGAAAAATTAGAGGGTATTGGCTTTCGTGGTATACCATTGGCATTAATGCAAGATTACTTGACTGACCGTGAACAAAGTGTTACCATAGGTGAGGTAAAAAGTGAGAGCAGATCTGTATCTTGGGGTTTGCCCCAGGGAACGGTTATTGCTCCAATACTATTCATTATCTATCTCAACGACTTATTAGAACTTCCACTTGAGCTTGTGGCCTTCGCGGATGACGCTGGACTTGTAATTACTGGTGATACTTGGGGAGAAGTTCAAGATAATGCTTCAGACTGCCTAGAAAAAGTCAAAGACTGGTTTGACAATAACTATTTAACAATGAACACGGAAAAAACTAAATTTATTTCCTTTAGCTCATACCAAAATAGACTTCCAACATTCACTAAAATAAAAATAAAAAACAGTGGTTCAGAAATACAAAGAACAGACTCGACAAAATATCTCGGTGTTCTTCTAGATCCGCACTTAACATGGCGCAAACATATTAACTCCATCCTACAAAAGTGTAGATATATTCTGTCAGCATTCAAAAAAAAAAGTAATTTTTTGAGTCAAAAACAACAAATTATAATCTATAATGGACTAATAAAATCAATTATCAAGTACGGTATACTTTCCTGGGGATCAGCCTCAAAAACAATAATAGAACCACTTGAAAGAATTCAAAAAACTATACTAAAGACTGTTTTTAAAAAGGATATACGCTTTCCTAGTGTTGAACTCTACGATATCTGCAAAAAAGAACTCATTCTTCAAGTCAAACAAATCTTTGTGGAAGCATTAGTAAACTACCAATTTAAGCAAAACCACCATCAACCACAACTAACTAAACATAATTATCATACTCGGAATAAAAACCAACTTAATACTACATGAGCAGTTAAAACAAAAGGGACAAAATGTCACACATACCTCGCCCCTAGATTTTACAATATATCTCCAGATTACGTCAAAAACAGCACACGCAGGAATCGCAAGAAACAAATTCAGAATTGGCTTTTAAACCTCAATATAGATGAAATTAATAAAATCATAGAGACTGGTTCAGCTGTCTAATCTGGATTGCTGTGGTGTTGTGGAAAATCCCATGTCTCTTATACCTTTATAGTCACTATGAAAATTGGCAGTTTTTAGTTGTCCTTGCTGTTTTGTTGTGTTTTATAACCTACGTACTCCAACTCAAACACAAATGTTGCTTGCCTAAATTCTAAATCTTAAATTTTAATTACCTACATGTTCCTAATTATTTTTATTGTCCACATTTTGTTTATCAGTAATGTCCACTAAGCTGGTTTTAACTTTAATTTAATTTCTATTTGTTCCTTAAAAATCCTATTACTGGATATTGCCTGAATTTTTTTTTTTTTTTTAACGTGTGAAGGGCTTTTACTATATATTTTCTTTTCTTCAATTTCAAATTTAATTACGATTTTATTTGTTCCTTAAAAAACCTACGACTAGATATTGCCTGAATGTTTTTTTCTTTTTTTTAACGTGTGAACGGCTTTTACTATATTAATAATTTAAAGTAAATTAATCTATCGTAAACTACTACATGGTACATGCTACCATGAAAATACTAATTATATTAGTTTATTTTATTATTAACACTTGCAGTCAAGTTGCAAAACTTAAGCAGGGCATACCAAATGTTTATTTGTATTTTTTTCATTTTGTATGTGTGAATTTGCAATAAATATTTTTTGATTTGATTTTGATTTGAAATATTAAACTCTTCAATTTATTACAAAAGGATGTAGAAAAAAAAACAATTAATAACAGATTTCAACATATAAAGGAATTTTTATTAATCTATGAAACATAAACTTGTAGTTTAAGTAAGCATTCCCAAGTAATTTTAGTTTTTAGGGTAACTTTAGTTTAAGTACCAGACCTTGTCATAGACGTATGTGCGCCTCATGTAGGATATATATTTTATATGTCATATTTTATATTGTAATATTTCTTACACCCAGCAGAGAAGCTGCTAAATGAAGTTGGATTTAATTCAAAAAAGGTATGGCAGGTCTTAAATGAATTATGTGGAAGAAAGAAACAAGAAACAAACAAAATCGAAAAAATTAAAAACAAAGAAGAACTAATGATAAAGGATGAAGCTGGGGGGCCAAAGAGTTCAATAACTATTTCTCAGAAATTGGAAAACCTAAGGCACAAAATTACTGATAGAAATTTTCATACCTAAGTTCAAAGAATAAAATGTAACTGAAAAAATCAAAAAGTCATATCAAGTAGTAGGCCAAGGCTCTTAGCGAAATAACAGCCATATTTTACCATAAAATTTAACAGTAAACTATCGATGCAGTATTGTTAAGGATCATTTATAGATGCTAAAAACCAAAAATGCAACATCTAATTACTTTTAGGGGATTTCATAAACAATATTTAGTGCAAAAATAGGGCTTTTTTTGTTTATTTCACTGTATTTCGAGAACTAATGATCGGATGGTTTTGCTTCTAGGGCAATAGTTTTAGAGCATTGAACAAGCTTTACAATGAGCCATCATACAACCCTGTAGGTCCTTTAGTCTTCAATAAATGATTTTTTTCCCCCCAAAAAAGAGATTTTCCTAACTTTTTTAATTTTCATGCTAGACAATTAATTTTTTACACATACATAGTAGATGAGGCAGGCTTTGTTGAGCCCAAATTTGGGCCCGGTTCGATGGGTCGTTTCGGCATAATACCCTTGTCAAGCAAAATGGGGATGTTTCTAAAGCAGTCTGTCGAATTGAGGATAATTTTTTTATATTTATTTTGAAAAGTCATCTGATGAGTCGAAATGCCAAACTATCGATCCTCTATATCAGATTTTCCATTTAATTTATTTATCGCAAGTAAAACGGCTTCGAACATGACTGAAAATGGAAAAAATCGGCGGGAATTCAAACGGAGTAGGCAGCGAGCTCCTCCCCGCCCACGCAAATTACATTTTTTTCCATTTTCAGTGACGTTCGGAGCCGTTTTACTTGCGATAAAAAAATTAAATGGAAAATCTGAGGTAGAGGATCGATAGTTTGGCATTTCGACTTATCAGAGGACTTTTCAAAATAAATATAAAAAAATTATCCTCAATTCGACAGACTGCTTTAGAAACATCCCCATTTTGCTTGGCAAGGGTATTATGCCGAAACAAAGCCTGCCTCATCTACTATGTATGTGTAAAAAATTAATTGTCTAGCATGAAAATTAAAAAAGTTAGGAATTTTTTACGAAAATCTCTTTTTTGGGGGGAAAAAATCATTTCTCGAAGACTAAAGATCCACAGGGTTGTATGATGGCTCATTCTAAAGCTTGTTCAATGCTCTAAAACTATTGCCATAGTAGCAAAACCATCCGATCATTAGTTTTCGAAATACAGTGAAATAAACAAAAAAAAAGCCCTATTTTTGCACTAAATATTGTTTTTCTACTACCGTGTGTAAAGTACTCACTTTACGCACTTTCCAGAAGACGTAAAATTTCATGTGATTGTCGCACTCGCCTCCGGCTCGTGCGTCAAAATTCACATTCGTGAAAAAAGATTCACTTTACACACTTATTGCATAAATAACTATTATCCACAATCATCAAATAATGGCAGTTTTATCCACTCATATGAAGCGTCTAAAGTGATACTTTATCCACTAGTGGAATAAAATAACTTTATTCCACTAGTGGAATAATGAAATCAAGAAATACGAAATTTTTATTTAATTTATTAATATTAACATTAACATTTACATTAATAGATACTCCGTTGTTTGATTTGTCTCCTATAACTTCGTTATTGTTGGTAAAAAAGTGATAATTTCCATCAGTTTGGGAACGCAGGTTTATGGATGTTTTCGCAGAATTACCAGGAACAGGAATAAATGGTGTCTCCTCTTGTAAGGGACATGTTCCCCTTGAATTTTGTTTGCAATACTAAGCTTATTGGAAATGGAATCCTCGATATAACTTTCAGCAACAGAGGAACTCTTCCATTCGCCATGTGTATGTACGTGTGATTGTGGATAAAACGTTGTACCTATTACATTCGTGTTTTAGTTGCATTTTATCCACTTAAGAAAATTAAACGCTCGAACTTCGTTCTCGCGTTTAAACATTCTTGCGTGGATAAAATGCTTCCTAAAACACTTATACAATAATAAATAACTATTATAAAATCCCCTAAAAGTAATTAGATGTTGCATTTTTGGTTTTTAGCATCTAGGTATAAATGATCCTTAACAATACTGCATCGATAGTTTGCTGTTAAATTTTATGTTACGAAAAAATTTATCTGCCCTGGCCTATAGAATATTAAACTTGATATCAAATTAATTTCATCGGAGCCGCAAATAATGAATTGCCCATCCATACTTCTAATTATCTTATTTCTTTAGGCAGTGACTGTTACGATGACGAAAGAAGCGACAAAAGGTACAAATTTCGTGACCCGGACATTTTCCTCATCAACAAAGTATCGGAGAAACTGATGAAGAAAATGATGCAGAAGAAACTACTTTGCGATGCCACTCTTAACATTTTTTCCGAACAAAACACTAAACTACAATCTGTCAAGATTAAAAATTGTAAAGTGACCAAGTGCGGATTGGAAATTTTGAGACAACACAAAATAATTGATTTGGAAATTGCCAATTTGAGAAATGTCAGTATTGAGGATGTACTTGGTAAGAGTTTATATTATCACATTATTTATGCTTAAACAAACATCTATAGCCAATAATTATTGATTATTTTTTTCAGATTGTTTAAATGACTGGTCGTTGCAAAACTTAAGAACAGTCAATTTTTCACACTGCCCATGTACCGACATGTTCCGATTTAAGTTCCTAGCTAAGCTGGCAAGCTTGAAACGCCTTAGAACCTTAAATTTATCATTTACGGAATTGAATCAGGCAACATTTAAGCTAATTTGCGAAAACCTGTTGACATTGGAAAAATTGGATATTTCTGGTACTCCTGTTAAAGACTTGCGACCCTTGGAACATTTATCCAATAGTCTTGTTAGTTTATCTTTATGTGTAAGTAATGTTTGATAAATGTTTGTCAATTGTCAGAAAATCAGCCGTAGAGCTTGTTTCTTGGTTATAGTTATAACGAATACTCTTAACAAAACACATTTTTTATAGGATATGGTACATGCAACTGAAAATCTCATTCAAATCCTGGAACAGTTACAACACCTCAAGTTCCTAGATATAAGCTTGTTTAATGAAAAAATTGATAAAGAATCCTCGAATATACCAGTAATGGAGCTGCTAGAACGCACCGACATATTGCCCGACCTAGAATGCCTAGATATTTCCGGTTGGAAGGAATTTGTACCCAAAGACTCACTAATGAAATTCATCGATAGTCATCCCAAATTGCAATTCGTAGGAATGGTCCTCAGCTCGATAACTTTTGACCCTACGTTTTGCGAACCCACCATTGAAAGTCTTCAAAATCTTCGTATAGCTGGTCTGGGCAATGAAGACCAAATAAAAGTAGCTCTGCAATATTACAAAGATCGTTACAATTACGTGCAAAAGGCGCTTTATCATTTATTCCAATTGACTGGCTTGTTTGCCGAAGCCAGGCCAGATATTTTTAAGATTGTTTTGCCTGCAATGGAAGCCCATTCGAGCAGGTATGGATTATTTTACTATCTGAACTTGGATTGACTAAATCGTATTTCATCAACTCTAGATTTGGAGTTCAAATGGCTGCCACCGCGTGCCTCTACAATTTGACTCGAGGTGAATTGAGCAAACGTATTCATCCACAATCGTTGAGTAAAGGCGTTAATTTGACGCTAATAGCTATGGAAACTTTCCCCGACGAGTTTCAACTGCAGAAAAATTCGCTGTTGACTCTTTGCAGCGATCGAATATTGCAGGAGGTGACTTTTGATCGGTTTAGATGTGCCAAGTAAGAGTCATATAGGGTGTTCATTTGTACTGCTCCTCTTGCTTCAAGCAGATCTTAACAGCAGATCGGCGTTCACTTGTCTCGTATATAAGCCCATAAATAACAAATCTTCCTGATTTTTCAGGCAGGTTGAGGAAGTACAAATGAACAACCCTAAAGAGTGTTTAAAAACTGAGTAATTTTCAATAATAACATTTATTTTTAGGCTGGTTTTAGACGCTTTATGTGGATTTGAAGATATCAACATGAATCGAATGGCTGTAGCTATTTGTAGTATTTTGGCATCAAAGGTTTGTATGTTCGAAACTAATTAGAATTCCTTGAAACTGATTCACATTCCATTGTAGGTTTCTACCGAAGAAACGTCTGAACTTGGTGCTCGGCCAGTTTACATGCGCAAATTGCTCTCCATGGTGCAAAGTAGAGTGGAAACTCAAGTTTCCGATATAACTTTGAAGTTTACTTTGAGCGCCCTCTGGAATTTGACTGACGAAAGTGCGGCTACTTGTTCGGTATTCCTGGACCAAGGCGGCAGTGGACTTTATTTGAAAGTGCTACAAAAGTTCAAGGGCAATGCGCAGATTGAGACGAAAGTTTTAGGTAAGAATTTGATTTGTTTTAAAACATTTTAAAGAAATTCAAATCACGGAATTATTTTGTAAAAAGTTGGACTGACTTAATACTCATCGAGATACTCATTCACTTTACTTTTCTGTCAAATAGAAGTTTGCAGAGTTCTGAGGATTAGCTGGTGTTTTCACGATAAATAATAACTTTCCTGCAATACGCGGTTTTAGGCTTTAACTGTTTTGAAGCTACTCTCTCAGGGTCGGTTACTCAATAGCAAGTCACCTCCGGGTTGGTTTTAATTCCAGGGTAAACGTGTCCAGTTGCAATGTTTACCCTGAAGTTATGCTTAGCCTGGGGGGTGACTTACTATTGAGAAACCGGCCCTCAAAGCAAAGTCAAGGGTATACATCAGTGTAGGAATATCAAACTCACTTTGAGGATTTGAAACTTTAGTTGACATACTGATTTCTGGAAAACAGTAAATTCATATGCTTAATATAACCGGTGTGAAGTAAGCAGCTAATTTTATGCAAAAATTGAATTATCATCGTTTCAGTAAGAAGGTAGCTTAGGCTTAGGATTTAAATTTTGGAAAACTTTGAAAGGTCATAACTTTTTTTTCTATTAGAAATAGAAAGCTGAAAATTTCAGCGATTCTTATCCCAGTGGCGGACTACAATCTCCGAAAATTTGAACTCATCTTATAGTTCCCGAGATCAAATCGTGTTAAGCAATTTGGGGTGATTTGTCAATTTTTCAATTTTTTCTGAGTGCCTTTTTTCATAGATTTCCGCTTCAAATCTGAAAATAATCTAGTGTCTGGAGTTTGGGGGATCCCAAATGACCATTAGGAAACGAAATCTCAACAAAAAAAAATTTGTAAATTCATCGTTTTAATAAGAAGGTGACATGACCACCTGATGATTTAGATTTTGGAAAACTTTAAAAGGTCATAACTTTTTTTCTATTAAAGATAAAAAGCTGAAATTTTCAGCGAATCTTATTCCAGTAGAGGACTACAATTCCTGAAAATTTCAGCTCATTTGGACTTATAGTTCCCGAAATCAAATCGTGTTAATCAATTTGGGGTGATTTATCAATTTTTCTGAGTGCCTTTTTTCATAGATTTCGGCTTCAAATCTGAGAATAATTTAGTGTAAGGAGTTTGGAGGATCCCAAATGACCATTAGGACACAAAATCTCAACAAAAAAAAATGAAATTTCATCGTTTTAGTAAGAAGGTCGTATCATACAATTTCCTATGTACAGTTTTTGGGCAATCTAGATATTTTATGAGAAAAAGTTTTACACAAAAGTTGTAGGATTTGAATCATTAATTTGTTTATTTGTATGTTTTCCTTTGATCAAAGTCCGACTTTAAAATATTTATTTTTAACTTCTAACGTTGCTACAACAATAATCTAAAAATTAGACATTTCCCGAAAATAACCGTAAATAAATCCGAAACCGTGCACAACAGCCCCATCAAACTATACAGGGTGTCCCACGGTGGATGGCGTATTAGACGTTTATAGAGAACTAAAAAGCGGATCATTTTCAAAATTTGGCAACAGGGATAAACGACCATAATCTACACTTTAAAAATATTTTTGTTTATGCGGTGTTGCCGCTTCTACTCTAAACCAGTGGCAACATCGCTATTTTAAATGAAACACCCTGTATGTGATTGCATATTTGGATTCTACGTAAAATTCTGAGCAGATTTTATGTGATATACCCTATACATGCTTATAGAAAAAAATATAGAATAATTTAAAAACTAGTTAGATAACTTATGTACAATTGTTGGATGTTAGATATAAGAGAAATAAACTCATTTTCTGGAAGAAGTTTCTTCTGAAAAATTAAATAAAATAAATAAAATAAATACCTAAGTTCAACTGTTTTGGAAATATTGACAGTTGAAAATTGACCTTTTGCAACTTTGACAGGCTGTAAAACCTAAACGGTTAATTTCTGAGGAAAACCGATCTTACATTCCTATCTTAGATTTTCGTAAACTATCATTTGACACCAACTTTGAATTTAACCGGAGATTAAATTTAATTGGAATTTTTAATCATGGATTAAATTCAAAATTGGTGTCAAATGAAAGTTTATAAAAATCTAAGATAGGAATGTAAAATCGGTTTTTCTCTAAAATTAACCGTTTAGGTTTTACAGCCTGTCAAAGTTGCAAAAAGTCAATTTTCAACTGTCAATATTTTCAAAACAGTTGAACTTAGGTATAGGGTATATCACATGAAATCTGTTCAGAATTTTATGTAGAATCCAAATATGCAATTAAATACGGGGCGTTTCATTTAAAATATCGATGTTGCCACTGGTTTAGAGTAGAAGCGGCCACACCGCATAAACAAAAATATTTTTAAAGTGTAGATCACGGTCATTTATCCCGGTTGCCAAATTTTCAAAATGATCCGCTTTTTAGTTCTCCATAAACGTCTAATACGCCATCCACCGTGGGACACCCTGTATAAGGTTTGTTTCACCAGGGTTCATACTTGACCTTGAAACTTTTTGGGTTGTTGTAGAATAATTCATATGACACATTCAATTTTTTTGACAAATTAAAATGAATGACTTCTGGTTTAAGAACCGACGAACGTTTTTGACGTCATTGATTTGTTTCAGTCAATTTTTATTTGTTAAACAGGGAAGGCAAATACTGGTGGCAAGTACAAACCCTGGTGAAACAAACTTTATGTTTATATTTGTCTTTGAAAGCGCTATCAAAAAATGTAAAAATATACAGGGTGTTCTATTAAAAAAAATTATATCTGATGTGTCACACTTTTTTGACTCCCCCTGTATATGCGCAAATATAAAAAAACAAATTAATGATTTAAACCCTACAACTTTTGTATTTTAACTTTTTGTCATAAAATATGTAGATTTCCATATACCGAGATAGGACGAAATAAACGGGCCACCCTGTACAGTTTTTGAATTATCATACAGCTTCCTATGTACAGTTTTTGAATATTAATCATACAATTTTGTATATTATTTATTCAGATTTTCATACTTTTTTCTGACTTGGACTTCCAGTCTAGTCATGAATAATGAATAGGGTACTATTTTTTTTAACATCTTCCTTGCAAAATCCCATTGACTCGAGCCCCGTCGAAAAAGAAATTCGACTTTGTATCGAAAGAACGTGTTTAACTTAAGCTCCCGCTAAAACCTCTGCTTCTACGTTAAAAACTATCGGAAAAATTCCGGGTTTTCGTGAATTCATCTGCTATTCAAATTTTCTCAATGAATTTGACATTATTTTCGACGTGAATATTATGTGAAGTTTGGAAAATTAGGCTTTAATATTGGCCAGTTATCTGCGAAAATACACAAAAACCGGCCTTGAATAAACAATACCCGATAAATATAAACAAATGTTCTTGGTGCAAGTGAATGTTTACTTAATTCGTATTGAAATTGAACCAGAATCAAACATTTATACAGTGTCGGATTAGGGGCAATTCATTTTTACTTGAAACCCTGTCTAATCTGTCCCATTTTTATTTTTTATTTTCTTTTAATCTCCTATCATGACGTCCAAATGTTCAGCTTGCGAGAAGGAGTGCATCACCAAGCGTCGACCCAACAAGAGGGATGGTGAAAGATTTGGTACTAGCTGCGACAAATGTCACCGTTTTTTATGCAAGGACTGCGCTAACATGACCACTACAGACATTGATGCACTAAATAAGCAATTAAAAATCCTCTCATTTCTTTGCAGCTCCTGCAAGTCTTATTTGACAGACATAGATAGTGATGACCAGTTGGTATATCAATATGAAACACTTAGAGTTACCTACTCTGGCTCATAAAGACAACTACATCGGTACTCTAGAGGCAGACCTTGAGGATCTAAAATTAAGCCTTAAACAAGAAATTGGTAGGCTTTCAAGAGACAATAAACTTAAAGATCAGCACATCAAACGACTGGAAAGAAATACTCAGACTCTTGATGACGAGGTTTTTGAAGTAGAGCAAGGCTGCCTGTCCACCATCTCATCACAGAAGGGTGAACTCACCCAAATGAAGAAAGACGTTATAGAAGCAGTGAAACTAAATTCAGTTTTCTCTCAAGAGATCAACGAGCATGTTTGCAAAATTCAGTCTTTGGAACAGAAACTTTTGGATGGGGGACGGGGGACTTAATAATGTCAAAGAACTAGAGAAAAGAAACAAATTCTTAAGTGATCAAATCTCGCAGGTGGAAGTGAAGAACACCCAATTAATAGTTGAACTTAATAAGTACCAACAAAAACTTATGTCTCTGGAAAGTGATATGAGGGAAATGACGACGGAACGGAGTCAAATGCTGACGACTATCGATACGCTAGAACAACAAAGTGAGGCATACATGCATGACATTAAGAAGCGCAAAAATAAGGTCTTCCAAAACAAGCAAAAAAAAGAGGTACAGGGTATTTGATTATATTTAGCACCATACCTACAGCCTTTATTATTTAAGATAGAAAAAAAATTTAAATGCAAAACTTGACAGTTTTTTTCTATATTTTTATTTAACGGTATCGGAAAAAACAAAATCGCATCGGAAAATGGAGAAACGTAGACAACTTCGACTTTTTTTAATGGAACACCCTGTATATTTTGCCATAAAATGAAAGATTTTTTCTTCCTGATTCCAAATATATATATATTTATCACATTTGAGTGAGTAGTTTTTGACATATTTTAGCTTAAATTATAGATAATTTGCACAGAAATTTCATAAGGATGTCAAGACATTCAAATATTTTAAAAATTTCTTTGGATTTAATTTATAATTTAAGCTAAGATATATCAAAAACGGCTCATCCAAATGTCATCAATATATATATATATATATTTGGAATCAGGAAGAAAAGATCTTTCATTTTATCGCAAAATATACAGGGTGTCCATTAAAAAAAGTTGAAGTTGTCTACGTTTCTCCCTTTTACGATGCGATTTTGTTTTTTCTGATAACGTTGAAAGAAAATATAGAAAAAAACTGTCAAGTTTTGTATTTAAATTTTTTTTCTATCTTAAATAATAGAGGCTGTAGGTATGGTGCCAAATATAATCAAATACCCTGTACATAACACGTTCCCGCTGCTAGATAACAACAAAAACAAAGACATAACACATGAGCAGAATCCAGAAACTATACATGCTCCAGCCTATCCCAACAATAAAATCAAAGTCCTAGTTTTTGTTGACGCAAGTTCTAGAGGTATTGCTGATGGACTGCTTGGCTTGACTGATGAATACTTGGTTCATGGAGAATGCCACCCTGCTATTACAATTTCCGATATGGCAGCCAAACTGTTTAGTTTAACGGCGGGATATGGTAATATGGATAATGTTATAATAACTATTGACTTGAGTTCTGTTGGTTTTCTTAATTCACTTTATTTGGGAATACTGTTTTCTATTGGTAAATATACTAATTTAATTTTTTCTTTGCGATATTCTAACTGGGAATACAACAGGTATGTAAGGTTTGTTTCCCTTTGTCAACATTTCCTCAAATGCCAAAGTGCATCAATCAGAATTTTGGATAACAATAGAGTAAATGGCAGATTTCGACTGTCAAGGCATTCTTATTTAAATAATGTTTTGTCTTATGTAATCAGTAGCCGGATTTCGAAACGCGTCCCCACCCTTTCTAACTCTTGTGCCAAATGTGTTAATGGTTTGGATGCAAACCCTACTTATAATCAATTACTGGCGGGTCAAATTGGCGAAACTATCAATGTGAATCATGGTTCCTTTTTGGTAGATACAAAAGATATTAATCGTGAAGATGAATTGAAATCCTGAATTAATTTTTGTAACTGAACACTGGTTAAAGGTCTCAGAGCCATGCAATATTCCAGGTTATTTAATTATTTCACACTTCTGCCGGTCCGCCGGATATGGGGGCACTGCGATTTTCATTCGGGAGGAGTTTTTTCCTAGGTTTCAGATTGAGGCTGTTAATAAGTATGATTTTTTGTGCAGAGAGGGTGAGCTTGAATCATCAGTTGCTTGTAGTGAAAGGGAGAATCTATACTTATTATGTATTTATAGACCTCCAGATTCAGATTTAAGAAACTTTCTCATAAATCTGGAAACAATCTTGCTTGATCTGCCAGTAAATGGCAGAGTAATTCTGGCGGGTGGCTTCAACATAGACTTTGGCAGTATAACCCTGGCAGCTGCCCAAGCGTTGCAAAACCTCCTCGTCTCTTATGGTTTGAGTATGCATGTTGAATCTCCAACTCGAATAACTGGTGAAACATCTACTACTATAGACTATTTTTACACAAATTTAAACTTTGATGGAAAAGACACCATTTGCAATGTTTCTACCCACCTCTCTGACCACGATGCTATATTGGCGGCATTCCCTCTAGGGGTTGAAACTTCCAAACTTCCACCTCAATTATTGAGACAGATATTTTCAGTAATTTTTTTTAAGAACTTTGGAGAGACGATGGCGTTGGCCGACTGGCATTGCATATTTGATTCACTAAAGCCGGTAGATACTTTTCCCTCAATCTTGCTGAGTTTATTCAATAACTGTTTTCCATTACGTAAAATGAGATCAAGTAAAAAACGAAAATCCTGGATGACGAAGGGCATTAAAATTTCAGCCAAAAACCTCAGATCTCTACATTCAATTTGCAAGGCTGTTAATAGCGGTTTTTTGAAAAGGTATTACAAAAACTACAGAAAGATCTACAAAAAATCTATAAGAACTGCAAAACGATCATATTTTGAGAATAGAATGTCAAAAGCAGGGAACAAGAGTAAGAAGGCATGGGCAATAGTAAATGACTTTAGAGGTAAAAGCAATACTCCTAGACAAACGACAAATATCGATGTTGATATTTCAAATAACTTTTATTGCTCTGTTGCAGAAAAACTTACAGCTAACCTGAAAACTAATTTAAATCCTATGGACAACTTAAATAATTCCCTTGTTAATGATACCTTTGAGCTGAATTACACTAACGTAGATGAGTTGAAGAAAACAATAAACGAAATAAAAAATACCCACTCTTCCAGTGAAGATGATATGTCTGCGAAGGTTTTTCAAAGTTTAGATGTTGAGGCCTTGACATTTATTTTAAAATTGCTTTTCAAATAAGCCCGGGAAAAAAAAACGATTTCTCAAAATTTTGGTTTTTTCCGAATATCTCCGGAAGTATTCGGAATCTTTCTAGTTTCAAAACGGTATTCTATTGGTCATAAAATTGCGCAACTTTGCCATAATTTAACTGACCCCGTATCTCTTACGGTTACCGAGATCCCAATGATGAGGCTCAAATTTGGGCCACCCTGTATATCTGGAAAACGAAGCATTTCCGGACACATGTTTATCAAGAAAAAAGTTTTATTTTTACGAGATCTACCATCCCTAGAAGTTTGTAACAAACCTTTCGTGACACCCTGTATAAATGACCTAAGTCTGCTCGACATCAAGGGTATTATTACACTTTTTGCCGACGACACCACAATTCTGTGGCCTCACAAAAACGAGGCAATACTAAAGGAAATTATACAGCAAGAAGCAAGATTTACAAAAGATAAAGAGCTGGTGTGATTCCAACAAGCTGTGTTTTAATATTGATAAAACCAAGGTCCTTGGATTTAAGTTTTCCTTTGATAATTTGAATCTCTCAGAACAAAAAATAATTATCCAAGAAGACAACACGAAGTTTTTGGGAATGTTCATTGATAACAAACTGAATTTCTCCTCTCACAATCCTTACCTGAATAAAAAACTATCAGTCGGAAGTTTCGCGGTAAGAAAAACATTTTCCGAACTCGGTACAAAAATGACTAAAACTACTTACTATCCTTTGGTTGAGTCGCACTTACGCTATGGAATAGCCTTTTGGGGTAATTGCAGTCAGGGTCTGTTTGGGTCAGTCTTTACTATCCAAAAGAGGTGCATCCGATATATCTGTGGCGCTAAGATTAGAGACCACTGTAGACCACTGTTTTTACAAGAAAATATATTAACTTTAACCTGTCTTTTTATATTGGAAACAGTTACTCTTCTGCACAAAAAAATACAAAAACTTCCAATCTAGTCAAGTGTATCAAATTAGGAATCAAAATAACATACCATTACCCATTCCAAAATATAGAATGACACAAAACTCAATTATATACCGCAGTATAAAAATTTATAATAAGCTCCCTGCTGATCTTAAAAACATTCAGTCGGAAAAATCGTTTAGGGCAAAGGTCAAAGAGATGCTCCTGAGAAAGGCTTATTATAATCTGTCAGAGTTTTTTGACGATGATTATTTGTAGATGTTGTTTTACATATTTGATGTTTACTGTTTTACCTGTTTAAATTTTTTATTTTTATGTTTTTTTTACCATCTACTTTTGCTATTTGTTATAATTGGATGCACTATTTGCATATAAACAATTTGTACCTCCCTCATGTAAACTTTTCAAATTTTATGTTGATTTTATTTATTTTCTGTTAGTTTGTTCAAGTTCTGAGTTTGTTTTTAATTGTCTTTTTGCGCCGATTGTTAATTGTTTTTGGCTACTTAGTTGTTTGTTATTTTTTTACTGTTCATTAGTTTCTAACTTAGGCTTCAGATTTAGGTACTATTTAGATTTATTATAAGTACTGCTTTGTCTATGGAACAAACTGTTTTTATTTGACAATAAAGCATATTTGATTTGATTTGATTGATTTGATGAAAAACGACCCTTAAGAAATAAAAATGCATTAATATTGAGATTTTCATATTTTTCCCCAACTTGGACTTCGAGTCTAGCCACGAAATTAATAGAGTACTATTTCAACACTATTATTCCCAACCCTCATGCAAAATCCCATTGACTCAAACCCCGTCGAAATATTAACATCTTGCAGACTCTTCAACTTTCCATTGTTCTGACATTAGTTAACATTTTATGTATCTTCAGTTTCTGATATTTCAATACAGTAAAACGGGGTTCTAAAGTGTACCTACCTATTTTGTAGTTTAATTTTTTTAAATTAATCTCATGCTTTTCCTACATTTTGCAGATTGTAGGTATAATTTCAATGTCAGGATTTGAACTTTTTTGCCTGATCCTTATAGGTACCTACTTTCAATTCAAGCAAATTGCAATAAAAAATACAATTGACTTAAACATAATTAAATACTTCAGTTTATTAATAATATTCATTTTCAATGTCAACAAATAAAATGATAACTATTGTATAATTATCTTTGTAAATTTTCCATAATTGCATTCCTTTTATGGATTTTTTTCTCAAATTTATTCCAAAAGTCTTGATACCTTTAATTACATTTTTTAACTAGTGTATTTCAATCACTGCCAGTAGCATGAATCATTTTTTACCATAAAATTCCTAATTGAAAATTATTTTTTTACAGTAATTTATAGGTATGTTTTTTTTAGGTCTTTTAAACAATATAGCCGAAGTACTAAGACTGAGAGAAAGACTTTTGAGCAACGAATTGGTTTGTTCACTTTACGATTTACTAAAATCGGACAACATTGACGTCAGCTATTTTGCTGCTGGAATTGTAGCTCATCTGGCTTCAGATGGTGAACAAGTTTGGAAGAGCTGGAAGGTAAACGAGTTTTTAAACCATTCACATGTAAATTAGCGACTTAACAAAATCGACATTCTTCTACTGCAAAAAAAAAATATGTCGAATTCCCTCCTTGCTTTGGTTTGTTTTAAATTCTTGTTGAAGCAAAGACTAAAAAATATTCAACAATTTTTTGAACTGGAAGGTAACTCGACAACAATATCACAATTGTTTGATAACTGGGCTCTGATCTTTCGGGTAAATGTATGTTCTGAGAAAACTTGCAATATTGTCCCCATTTAGTCAAATCAACATTTGCGACAATATTATCCCAATTTCAAGTACCTATTTATATAGAGATTTGCAGACTGCATCTCAAGGGACCTTTGTAATATCTCGAGTACTACAAATTATTTTCAATCACCTTAAACATCTATACCTAAACATAACTACAACTCGGTTTTAGGACCTAGAACAGAATCAGAGAAAATGACATAATCATTCAAAAATTATTGGGTCTGTAGCCGCGGAAACTGTGTTGGTTTGCCATGACTCAAGTCTCATTATATATTATATTTTAGGTTCCAACTTATAGTAGACTCGAAATGCTAGATGCCTTAGCTCAAGCTGTATCAGCATGGAAAATTCCCGAATCAGAAATGGTATCTTATAGAAGCTTCAAGCCATTTTTCCCTTTGCTAAGAGTAGATATGGACCATCAAGTTCAGTCGTGGGCCGTTTGGGCCATCCATCAAGTTTGCAGCAAAAATCGTGAGTAGAATAAAATTTTAGACAGGTAAAATTAAAATTGAAACTTTTTAGCTAATCGCTACTGTCAAATGCTCTACGAAGAACGCGGCCATGTTTTACTAAACGATCTAATTAATTTCGGTAATGTTCATCCTGATATAAGGCAAATTAGTGAGCAAATACTTCAGGCTTTGAAGGAACAAGCCGTGCCTGTGTGAATATAAGCAAACTTGTGATTTATTTAGGCTTTGATAGTTATTTATACATTGTGTATTGTGGTGTTTTTCTTCTATGGCCAGGTTTATTTGGAACAAGAAAAATAATAATGAATTTTTCCAAAGAAATTAATTTAGTTAGAAAAAATAACATTAGATTTCCTTTTTTTAAAGCAACATTCTACACATTAGAAAAATATATTATAGGTACATTTAATACGTATAATTATTTTGCGTTTTTGTTAGTTTTAGGAGATAGAATTTTTATTTATTTATTAGATATGTAGAGTACTAAAAAATTGACGTAGTAGCCGTAAGAATGAATATAGTTACTTATATAAAGGGTATTTTTGTTCCAATGAGAATTTATGGTAATCGAGATTTGACATATTGGAATGGAAACAAAATACTTGTCACGAATAATTTTGTTATAAGAATTTAATACATTTTATTGTTACTCTGTGCCAACCTTTTTTTGTAGAAAATAATTTATTAGAAGAATGTTTAGAGATTTATAGGTCTTTATATGTATAAGTTGCTGATGTTGTGCGACTGCTAGTCAAAAAATATATAATGCTGTTGTTGAATGAAAATAAATGGTTTTATTTTACAGTTAGTAACTTTAGGCCCAGTTTCATCTCCAGGAAAATTCTATTGGTCAGCGGATAACTGGCCAAACACACAAGAACTGTAATGAGCGTTACCATAAGTGTGATTTACAACATTTCATCGACGACTCAGTTTTTTTTTTATGTATTCAAAATTATTTTAATTTTTCACCGACTGATTATTCAGCCTGACCGAAAGAATATATCTCAACAAGTAAAAATTAATTACGTAATGAGCGTATTGAATCACTAGTGATATAATGAACTCATTACATCACTAGTATCTACGATAAAGCAACTTATTACGTAACTCAAACAGGCTAAAATAGGCTACACAATAAGTCTCCTATAGTTTGGGTTGTGTATAAAAAAAAATTATATAGAGTCGGAATCTCATGACAAAAAAAGATAATTTAGTATATTCAGGGCCGGTTTATTCATCTTCAGATAAACTTGTTGGTAACTATCTGCTATCCTATTGGTCGGCGCAAGGGAATTACAAGTTTTGTTTTTATCTAACAGATTGCATTACATGGCCGAAGGTGAATAAACCGGCCCTAAATATAAAATAAAGTGTGGTAATTTGGTAGGTAACTAAGTTTAATTACCGCACGCGAGGGAAATTTACATACCTAGTGAGGCGAGGTTTGCAATCACTCATGCGCTGTAATAACTTAATTACCTAAAACACTTCCGGGCCCAAAGGATTGCTTATCCTAATAAGGCCAGGCGTACGTTCGCCAGTGCTTGAGTGGGCAGCAGGTCTACGGGTGACGTCACGACTATCAGCAGCTAATCGTGGTGACGTCACCTGCAGACCTCGATGGAACATTGATGGAATCCCTGCGATTCAGGGTGTGCTTATTTTTTTCGTTGATTTTAAATGCATAAAAGGTAATTTTTACGTTTAGGATTTTTTTTTTTTCGCTGTGTTTTAAACTCGTATAATGCATTTTACGCCGAGTTGAGGTCTGCGGTTGATGTCACGAATATGATAAATAGTGGGGCGTTGTCGCGTGGACATGGCTGACACTTTCGGCTCAATAAGCGTGTTCTTGCCTAATTACCATACGTATCAAAAATACGTATTAAATAATTTATATACAGTATTTTATCTACAACCGTGCGGTAGAAAAAATCAGAAAGAAGTTCAAAAATTCTAGAGAAGAAATTTGTGTGCTCTGGCTGTTTTCTCTGTTCGAGTAGCATTTAGGTGATAGGTACGAAGGAGGCAAGGATAGTACACAATTACACAGGATTACTTTTATAGGCCTCGTTTTTGGGAATCGCGGTCATAAATTTAGCAACATGGCAAATTGCTCAATCGAGATCATAATCAAAAGTATCGGCCCTTGAACAACCCGATTTTAGATCTTGTTTGCATCTTCCTCTTCGCCTATAGACAAAATTAAATAATATTTTTCATCATAAATGTATATTGTAAACTACGACCGCTGGCGGAAACAGCTGACGACTAGGGTAATGAAGTTGCCAATGGTGCGGCAACATAAATTGTATTCTCCTAGGTGTGAAAGGAATACAACTATAATAGGTGTGTGTGTTCGGACTTGGTTCAGAATCAGTTCTGAATACAACTGCGCTTGCGCATTAAAATTTGTTCATATCGAAAAATAAATGCGCAAGCGCAGTTCAATGCAGAACTAATTCTGTACTAAGTCGAACAGACCTATTATGTTGTCGCACCATTGGCAACTTCATTACCCTAGTCGTCAGCTGTTTCCGCCAGCGGTCGTAGTTTATAATATACATTTATGATGAAAAATATTATTTAATTTTGACTATAGGCGAAGAGGAAGATGCAAACAAGATCTAAAATCGGGTTGTTCAAGGGCCGATACTTTTGATTATGATCTCGATTGAGCAATTTGCCATGTTGCTAAATTTAACAAGGTTTTGCATGGGTCAAGGTCTAGTATGATGTGGCTAGAGGATACCATTTCCGACGTCATAACTATCATCAGCTGTTTAAACCAATGAAGAAAAATAACATGCTAACATGCTGCCTACGTCACAACTGGTATTTAGACGAGGGGGAAGGGTGGATTTATTACACACAGGCCTTAGGAGGATAGGCCATCCTGTAGTAGTAGTGTGTATCATCTTTGTGTCTTACTTCCCTCCTGCCCAAAAATGATACACATGCACCTACCTACAGGATTGCTTATCGGCCTAGTTTTTGGTAATCGCCGCCATATAGTGTGTCACCATTTCCGACGTCATAAATAAGTCGTCAGCTGTTTAAACAGCCTACGTCAAAGCGAGAAATAACATGCTGCCTACGTCACTGGCATATGCTTCACCCCACGCTCCTCATACAGAAAGTGTCAGATTAAAAACGACGGACAACATTGTCCTTGGAATTTAGCAACACGCGGTTTCTCATATATGTCAGCTTAAATTTTACTCTAGTCAGGACTAGAGTGTTCATTCAGTGCGCGCACCAGAACGTCGAAAACTGAGTGATTTTTATCCACACTTCGCCTTATCGAACGGCAGCTGTGTGATTGAATAGCGTATTCCTTTCAAGAGTTTAACACTAGAGCTACTCGCTCCGGTGTTAGTCGCCCCGATTTGAAAGGAACAAATGCGCGCTTTCGTGCATTTGAATGGTTTAGTTCGGGCTCGTGTACTCAGGTGCAACAAACACTTTTCGAAAGGAATAAGCGCGTAACGCCCCGGAGCTGTTTCGGAGCTCCTCATAGATGTGAAAGGAATACAACTATTTTTATACGACACACAGTCGCTTTCCGGACGCACTTAAGCACTCTTGAGCTACTCTAGAGCGCCCCGGGCTATTTATAGGCGTTCCAGTGCTTCAGAGTTTCGCGCAACTGAACTGTTCGTTTTTCCTCTCCCCTGCCTTCTCAAGCACCTGAAATTTTTTGGTTGCATCAAAAGCACGACGGTTAAAGTAGGGTGCGTTCCAGTGACACAACAGTTGTTTGGAGCCCCAGAGTGTGAAGCTACGGTTGTGGAGCACCTTAAAATTCGTCGTGTTTTTGATGCACCCCTAAAAATTGCAGGTGCTTGAGAGGGCAGCGGAGAGGAAAAGTAAAAATGAACGGTTCAGTTGCGTAAAACTCTAATGCACTGGAACGCCTATAAACAGTCCGGGGCGCTCCAGAGCAGCTGGCAACTCGTTCTCGAACGCAACCCGAATCATTTAGCGCACGTCCACGTCGTCATGGGAACGTTAAAAAAGATCAACCAGGAAAAAAAAAAGGATCAAATCATATTTTGGAAATAATCGATCCAGAGATATAACAAGATATAAATAAATAAATAGCCATCCACGGGCGTGGTGTGACAGCTGAGAGGTTGAGGCGTGGCACGGCGTGTCGTTCCAAAATTTCATTTGGGCGTGTTCCAATGTATGACCGTACGTACAGGTCGAAACCTGAACGCTCCGAGTAGCTCCTAGCGTCATACTCCTATACTGGATAGCAGCTAAGGCAAAAGCCAGCAGAATCATAACATGTGGTGCAAACAGCAAACACCCTACGCAATCGTGAGAAACGACATGCTGTTACGTCATCACTGGTACTTTGGCCGTAATATGATACTTAACGCAAGCGAAATCATGCGGTATACCTACCTTACTTAACGCTCGGAAGTGCGTTTTTTTTCAAAGATAAAAGTCAAACTGACATTAGGTTGGCAATACAATGTAAAATTGTCAATGTTATCAAATTTTTCATGTAGAGAAGGCTTGTGTTGCCAACATAGTTACTAAATTTTTGACTTGGGGAATTATCTTTAAAAAGAAACAGATTTTACATAAATACCAATTTTCTATGAACGCTCCGAGATTCATCCTCCCATAAGCCTAGTACTCATAACTGCGAAATTCGCATTTTTTTGACATTGCGTTGACAATTTGACGTTTTATGCGTGTATCAAACGTCAAATTGTCGAAGCAATGTCAAAAAAATCCGAATTTCGCAGTTATGAGTACTAGGCTTTACTCGGTGCGGCACACGTGACGAGTTCATTACTTTCGCCGATCACGAAGGAACTGCTCGAATCCTAGAATCACAAAGAACGAGCGAGACGTGAAGAAAACGCTATTCGAGAAGGTTGAAAGTTGACCAAAAGGACGGAACGGGGGGCCTTTTTGGAGGGGACAGTGTTGGTAGACTTTGGTTTATAATTAAAAAGTTATGCGTTGCTTTTAAAGGAAGAGCTTGTTATAAAAATGGTCTGTAATCTGTAACATGAACATGTCTTCACTTGGTTCTTGGTAAATGAACCTCTTTTTTATTCTAATCGGTGACTCCACCGATGAGTTAGCTAAGCTATCTTTGTTTAGTGAATGGAAAATGACAATGACCGACATAGAATAGTGGATCCATCGGTAAATTTTTTTGTGAGATTAAAATTGCAGGGATGTCTAGAACCGGTTGAACTAGTGCAGAATCGATTGGAAACCATTTCAGTAAAACCAGTGGTAAAACCGTGAACAAAGAACTCTGGAACCAAAAATTTGAAATCGGCACTTTTTACCCCGAGTGGAATTATTTCCACACTTGCGAATGGATTCAACCTCAAGATCAAGAAATGAGCTGCTTACGATCAAGCACTTTTCTTACCTAAGTTAAAGTTAGTTTATTAGCTGAGCTAAGTTGTTTGATCGTACGCGCAATTCATGAACTGCATCGGGAGTGCTCCAGTGCATGTTTTAAATTGACCTGGAGTGTAAAATTTGTTTGCCAATAATCACTTATATTTTATTTTTCATGCATAAGCTGTGCTTACCCATCCGCTTCAAGCCGATAGGGACCTTAATTCCCAGAACACGGAATGTGCCTCCTCATTTAAAACGTTGCTCGGAGTCCAAAATCTGCTTAGAGCAGAAACAAATGAAACCCTTTTCCATGGTTTATTTTTTTATTTAAATAAAATGTCAAGTCGTAACTGAAAACAATAGTATTTTGTTCCAATTTGTGTCAAAAAGTTGAACTTATAAATAGCTCAGGTCATTGTTCGCCGTATTTTCAAAACTCCCGCCACCCCAACCATTGCATTCCAACCAGTTTGAAAAAATACGAAAACCTCCACGCGATCAGCTGATTATGGATCGCCCAAGGATGGACCCAAAAAATCCCAATTTTGCCTCAACTTCCCCCGAAATCGTCCCTATATTTATCGCAATATCGAATCGAAGCCCTGCAAAATCTATTGCAAATTAAGTTCAGCGTAAAAATCATACTAAAACAATAAAAAAAAGCTAAAATCCAAAAGTGAAGGCCGCGAATGGCTCCGAAAGATAAAATCGATTTGGGGAATTTTCGCGTTGTCGGGTTGGTACGGATCGGTGGTGGGCAGGCGCAGAACCGAAGCCGATCGGTTTTCGGGCCCGATCCCCTCTCAGTCGTTTCGGGTGCACCATGTTCCTCGTTTCACAGTGCGGACTAGAAAACTGGACAAGACAAAACGCAATGTCTATACGCCATTACTGTCGAGTGGAGCTGCGAAAAGTTCTCTCGAAGTATATACGGTTTTATCGCTACAAACCGAATTTAAATGCAGAATAACGTAATAGAATTAACGCAGAGATTACTGAGAGCATTGGACAGCAATTATAATGTAAGGATTTGCACTAATTTGCGAAATATTCAGGATTTTTGATTTGTGTGTAGACGTTTCCAAACCAGGTGGATCCTGCTGTGACTCTCTACCCTTTTTCGTGTTGTAAATAAAAAATAATCGTTATTAGTGATGATTATGTGTTCAATTTTTATTAATTTATTAATACCTTTAACGAATTTCGTAAATTTTACAAATTATTTCGCAATGTCGTCAGGCGACTCGTTTTTACATAAGAAGACATACCAGTGCTTCAAATTTACCACGTATATCCCTATAATAAAACTAAATAGTTTGAATATCAATTTCAACTTCCTAACAATATATTAATTACTAGTAATTGCACAACATCTTCAAAAGAGGGCTAAAAAAAAAGCATTAGTCAGACTACCTGGCTACAGGGTGTTTCAAGTTTTCCCCGACCCCTACCCAAGGATGATTCACACAAATTCCTAATTTTATACTTGATTTTTAGGTCACTGACATGCCCGAAGTTGTTGATATTATTTGCAATTTGGAACGAGTGGCTATTACCAAAGAATTACTGGAGGTAAGGAGTTAATTAATAAATACAGCCATATTCAACCCACCGTTTTAAAAGAGCTGTTTAAAATTTTTGTATAGGTAACTCTCTTCAAAGTTAAAAACGATTTCTCTTGAAAGTGATTTTTTAAAAGAGGATGTTGAATAAGGCTGTTATTGTTTGTTTAAAGGTTTGATTTGCGTATTTAAGTTTTCTTACTCATAAAGTACTTAACGAAATCTCTCTCGAAATGAGACACTGAAATATAAATAGATTAGTAAATGCATTCAATCTGTATGTTGTTAAAAATGCTACAAAACATATTTATTGCAATGTAGAAGTAGAACGTCACATAGAAGTTCATTTAAATAGGTGATCCCAATGTATTCTTAGGGGTCTCTAATTGTTCAGTTGAAAGTAGGCTTCATTTAAGATCAACTTTGCTTAGCTTATATTTGTGTAGGTAGCCTCCATTTCCTTTGATTCAAGCGTAAATTCAAACTATTCAGTATTTGATAAATTCCAAACACATTTGGATGGAGATATTTCGGAAAAATCACAAAGCTTTTTAAAAATAAATTGCACTTCATTGTTGCCACTTTTTTCCCTCTACTAGATGACATCATTAAATTTGAAATCTGATGTTTTGTGATGTGACGTTAAATTTCAGTTTTTCCCAAGGGTTTGGAATTTATCAAATGGCAAAGCGTCAAGATTGACTATTAATCTCGAGACAGAAATGAAAACTTTCCTCCGAGGTTTGTATACTATTTTATTTGCAAGCACACCATTAATTATGATTAGTCAATCAACTTTTTTAATATTAAAAAAATAAAACAAACATGCCAAAATGTGTCATTCACTGCTTTGACGTTTTTACCTGACACGTTTTCATTGTTGCCAGCAAAGGTGAATGCAAATAATAGTAGATTATATCGGGTCTTCAAAAAAAAAACCAATCAAAGATTGCTATGGTTTTTTAAACGTACGTCTTAGCAATATTTTTGTTTAATTTTGACAATGTCAGTCAATGAAATTTAATGTCAAAATGTCATGTCAAAAATTCTGGCCAATAAAGAAACAATAATCCGACGTACGTTTTCGTAACCAAAGCAATCTTTGATTGGTTTTTTTTTTGAAGACCCGATACCATGAGTCAATAATGATAGCTATTATTCCCGAGGATTATTACAAACTGAGCCGCGTTAGCGGCGAGGGAGTAACATTCCGAGGGAATAATAGCCATTATTGCGAGTAGTATACTCTACTTTATTTACGGCAAATTTCATCCGTCTCATAATTTTCAATACAAATCCACAAGCACTACACGTTTGACACTGACACTTTTGTGGAATAATGACCATTAATCCCGCTACTTGTCATTAATCCCTGGAGGAATAACATATGTCATTATACTGCCAAAATCACAAATATAATACGCACATTATACATTAGTCGTAAATAAACATACTTTTTTCATTTTGCAATACTAGGTATTTTAATTTTGATGAAATTTTGCAAAATTCAAAAAAAAAAAAAATTTGGGTGGAGTTTTGAGCCTATCGGACGTGTCATAACTAAGATCACAACCCTGTTTATGGTTTTATATTTGGATTCAAAACTGAAAATATTGTGGAAAAGAATAATAAGTAAGTAATTCCTTAATTTTATCATCATATTTGAAAAAAAAAAAAATGATTTAAGTTTTTGCCAAAAAATAAGATAAGACAGGTGAAATATAAGGTCTGTTTCTGCAGAAATGACGAACCAGTCAGAGTGAATTTCATTGGTTGAAACTAGTTTTCTGACTGTTTTGAACCAATGAAATTCGCTCTGACTGGTTTGTGTTTTCTGCAGAAATACACCTAAAGGCGGTTACACACGGACGTGAATGTCTGCAAACATGTACGCACATACATGAACGCGCAAACAAAAACATCAATGTGTATGCAAAATACCGTCGCGTTTTTGAATGTGCAAACTGTAGAATGACGCTCAAATGAATTCTGGAATTGCTAGAAATTTTGTATGCATGCTCGAAATACTGTAGCAAGACTGACAGTTTTGTGTGAGTGTCTGTACCATCGTCACCAAAAGTATCTGGGACACAAATAATGCATAATAATCTGGACTAATTCTACTGTCATTCATTCCAATGCATTTAAATTATAGTTTGACAAATATTTGACAATAAAATTCATATAATAGGACAAGAGCTAATGTGATGTTGTCCCAGTTACTTTTGGTGACGATGGTACATAGGTGACATGCACGTTGATGTTTGCACGTTGATGTATGCACGTATATGTATCAAGCCATCCACGTCCGTGTGTAACCGCCTTAAGTATTGATTTCCTTCAACCTCCAAAAAAATATAAACACCATAATCTGTAGAAGTTACAATGTCTAAATATTTCCTATTAGGAATGAAATACTTATTCATTGGAAGAAAGGTTTGATTGTTACCTTATTTTCTTTGAATGATAAAAAAAAGGGTTTCTGAAAAAAGAAGAATCTGGGAAGGTGTGATATTAAATTACTCCAGACAGAACCAAAAAAAAATTCAATTGCAGATGGTACTAGAGACATCCAATAATATGGCTGTCTATGAAAAAGAAGAGTAAGTTTTGGTATTGTCCAAAGAACTTTAAAACGGTTCGAGTTTCAACCATTTCCCATTTGTCCAGTGCAACATCTGACAGCTGACGAGAAAAAGCTGTTTTTTAAATTTGCTGCACATACTGAACAGGACAGAAATTCTGACTTATTTAATAGTATATTGTGTATTTAGGTGGAAAAGTGACACATTCTCGGCCGACGGTGTAAGTTGACGGGCGAGGCGTAGCCAAGGCCGGCAAACACCGAAGGCTGAGAATGCGCTTTTCCACCGAAATACACATACTATTTTTTCTGCGATCAGTTAAATATCTGTTAAATGGTTGTCTTTTTGTTCCAATTATTCAGCAGTACGAGAATCACTTTCCCGGCCTAGGCCGGAAAAGTGTTTCCCGTATTGTTATTCATTGATTCCCTAGCAACTATTGAAACATAATTAAAATACCAGAATCTTGAGTTTTGCGACCTGTCAGTCAGTCAAAAATGCTGACATTTCTTGTCAATCGCAGAAAAAAATATTTCTTGGATAGATGAAGCTACCTTTACTACCTTAGAGATGTATAACAGACATCACAACCATTTTTGGTCTCAAGAAAAGCACAGAAGATATCAAACTATAAAATATCAAGTGGTGTGGTCCCAATTTTTTAATCGTCCATAAGTTATCAAAGCAATGCATTGAAAACCTTCTGGAAGAATAACCTATAATGGCATATCAAAACATTATTTGGTAGCAGGATGAAGCTTTACCTTATAATTTCGCAAAGTTGTGAAGTTTTTAAACCACTGATATGAGGATTGGATGGGCCATAATGGGACTTTCAGGTGGCCACCAAATAGTCTTGATATCAAGGCAATAGACACTTTCTCATAGGGTCATCTAAAAAAATTGTGTCTACCGTCAAAGAAGCCGAGCTTTTCAAGAAATTGAAACTAAAATTATTCTAAACTACAATACATGGACTTAATGGAGAAACTTATATTCTTACAGCAACTCTAGAAAGATTGAAAAGGGGTAACCGGGCCTGCTTTGAAAATAATGAACGCTCCATCGAGCATTTGAATAATTGCAATTATATTGTAATAATTTTCATTCTTGTATCTATCTCACCTGTTTGAAGAGATACCCAGAAATGGCAAATGTGAAAGTTGTAGGTGATATCAAAAACTTTGCAATGAAGTTAGATACAAGTATACAGGGTGTGTAACAAAAGTGTGGCGAAGCAAAGTTATACTTTTTCAAATGGAATATCCTGTATATTATTAACCTATTGGATCAGCCTTTTAAACCTGATTCCAAATATACTAGCAGCTGTATGCAACATCCTCTTTTGACTTGAGAGAGCTTTTTAAAACTGGTCACTTTTTAAAATGTACAGTGTGTCCACTTAAGTGCGCGGCATATGGGAAACTTTTTTATTATCAATTTTACGAAAAAAAGTTATTCTTTATAACAGTTTCTGCTTCTTGAAAAAATAGTATTAAACTATCAAAACTTGAAATAGCATGTACAGGGTGGTCAGAAAATAGAAAAATATACACGACTTTTTAGTAGTATAACTTTTTTTCGTAAAATTGATAATAAAAAAGTTTTCCATATGCTGCGAACTTAAGTGGACCCACTGTATATTCTAATCCATACAAATTTTTAAAGGTACCCGTTTTAAAAAGCGCTTTTAAGTTAGAAGAGGATGTTCTTCTCTTCTCTTCTAAAATCTCTTGCAATCTCTAAGGGCGCTAATAACCTAATTACCATACGTATTATGTACAGTATTTTATCTACAAGCGTGCGGTAACAAAATATTCGAAAGAAATGTAAAAAAATATTAAAAAAAAAATTGCGTCTGTCACCTTTGACAACGGACAAGTAGAATTTAGGTGATAGGTAGGTAATTTATTTCTGGTAGGTAATTAAAGGTACGTACCTATGTAGGTAGAGCGTGCGGTAATAATATTACCGCACGCCGCGCGGTAATGTGGTACTTACCGCACGCTTGTAGATAAAATGCAATTATTCCACTCCTTTTGCTCTTATTTTTTCCCGGACTATTAGGCATAAAAAACCTAGTATATTTGGAATCAGGTTTGAAAGGCTAATACAATGGGTCAATAATAAATGGGATCTCCCATTTAAAAAAGTTTAACTTTGCTTCTTCACACTTTTGTGACACACCCTGTATACTTGTAACTAACTTCATTGAACATTTTCTGATATTACCTACAACTTTCACATTTGACATTTCTGCGTATCTCTTCAAACAGGTGAGATAGGTGTGGGTGCAAAATAGACAATCACCCGGTACCTAAGTACCCATATTTTTCAATTATTTACCATTACCAACGACGTTGTATCTTCAAATAAATGTTACAAACTTATTCGGGGTCAATAATTAAAAAAGATACTAGATTGTGTGGCATGTCATGGTAACTTTAGATTTTTGTATTTACCTATGTAGGTATATTTCGAGGTATATTTCTAGGAGCAAGAGACAGGAAATTATTATTTTCCCTGTGTTTTACGATAGAGAAATATGTTTTACTTTATTGAAATTGAAAATCTTTCTGTTATCCTATTTTCTTAACAAAATACGACAAGTCCAAATTGCATTTTCAGATTTTACCGGAAAAAGCGATTTTGATTTTCTCAAAAATACAGCGAAGGTCAAAAATTTGCCCCAGTTGAGTTCTTGTTGGATGACCCTGTACAGGGATAATATTTCCATTATGGTTTCAAATGTATCACAAATCACAAAGTTGCCAAATTACATTAACTATATGCTCATATGGGAACTACCCACCTATTAGAAAAAAGATTATTATTATTATTATTATTATTATTATTATTATTATTATTAGTCTAACAGTAACAGTAGACGGAAAGTCCGATATAAACTGCTACTTTATCATCATAACAATCAAACTTAATGGGGTATAAATTCGCGATTCACATGTGTAAGGTCTCTATCCAGTCTGTTTTTGAAAGTGGACAAGGATTGGGCATCCACAGTATCTTTGCTGAGAGTGCTGAGACACTAACCCAAACTTATGGAATCGCGCATATTCATAAAATTTGTTTTTTAATCAATTCATACTATAACAAAATGAGGTTAATGGATTTTTTGGAGTGTCCTCTAAGCATCTAACCTTATTTCCAATTGTCTACAATCCATCCTTGATTATCCAACACATCAATATTTACTCTTAATCTTGCTCTTAATTTGTATATTCATAATTAATAAATACAGACCGTTTTGCTTTGTTCAACTATAAAGTTCAAAAGGGTACAGGTAAATTCGCCCCAATGACCATAATTTTCAAAATGTCCACTTTGGCCTCTTAGGTATGACAGGTAATTCCGCCCCAAACACCCTTACTTTATGATGGTCATTTAGAGAAAGGATGATTAGGTATAATAAAAAAATAGACAATTACATTTGTCTTTTCTTTAATCTGGGGGTAGAATTTCCTAAACCGGTTTATTGAAGAATTGTAAAATACGCAGATTATTTTACAGACACTTATATTTCTGAAGATTCCCTGTTTCCGCCACAACTTTGGGCTGAAAATTCTGCAACACTTACAAGAACGACAAATGCTTGTGAGTCCTTCCACCACAATTTTAATAGTTCTATGTATAGTTCACATCCAAATTTATATGTTTTCATTGAAAAGTTAAAAGAGTTTCAAATAGAAACATATGTAAAAATACAAAATACAAATCAAACAGTAAAAATTCATAATGTAAAAGTTAAAAACCGGCAAAAATTTATTGAAGAGACAATTAAACTGTACAGTCTTGGCGAAATCACTAGACTCCATTTAATAAAATGCATTTCTTTTCATTGTGCACCTTGAAAGTAAGAAAATTAGATTTTTAACTTGCTGAAAGATTCTACAAATCAATTGTAGACTTAACCTAAAGTCATTTAAAGTTGTTTTTTATCCGGATGGTTTTGTTTGATTGAAGAAATAAATCTCTATTTCAGCAAACAAGTACATATAAGATTTCATTTGATTCAGATTCAACTATTGTACAATTACTTGCCAAAGGAACCAGTAAACATCTGAGAATGTCCTAATTTGTATAAATAGTAACTAGGTCAAGATATGATTTAAAAAAAAAACAGCTTTGGATTTAATTTGAAAAAAATCTTGAGTTTGGTTTTATTACACTCTCGATTGCACCATTCTTTTTCTGTTTCGAAGCTGTGTTTTTGTCCCCTAATACATTTATAGTGGAAAATAAAATTATTAGGAATTTTTATTTAAAGTGAGCTATCTAAAAATATCCAGTCTGGGTGTTTATCTAAATAAAAACATGAGCTTCTAAATTGTTCCAGGTACTGATAAATTGAATATTGACAATGACCAAGAGATTAAATTTATCACTGAGAACCTTCTTAAGTAGATCTCAGTATCCATACATTATATACCTATTAACTTGCTTTTGGCTTTTTTAAAATTCCATAAAAATGTGAGTTTTCTCAAAAAATCATGTTTCAAACAAAAATTAAATACATTCAGAAATTCAGAGAATGAACCTGATTTCTTGAGGGAAAAAGCAAAAAAGTTACTGATATTCTATTCTGTTTTTCACAAGATCCTTCAGTTAATAAAATCTACGTACTTATATGTCTTTGCAAATACAGATAAGTAGGCACTTTTACTGAGAAGATAAAGATTAAAGATATGAGAATTTTAAAAACTGCAAAATAATAATTTGTGCAGTAGTTTGTGTGTGATTATGGTAAATCTATGAGGACTTAAATCTTATAGTTGTTCATGTAATTGAAATGCCCAACTAACAGGTATAGATTCAGGTACATACCAGCCCTGTTGTAAATAATTATAATTTAATGATGTCTTTTTTGGCTGGATGATATTTGAAGCCACTTCTTCATTTACATAATGATTGGTCCGAAGTTAGTATCCTTTTCTTTGAGGGGTTTGCCAGTACCAAGAAAAAATTAATCCTTATTACCTTACCTGCAAAGGCTTGCCAATATTAAATAATTGTTTCTTATCAGTAGAACCTTGTGGCTAGGCTAGAACTTATTCCAATAATTGCTTTATACCGATACACGTTTAATGTATTGTTTTATGTTAGAATTTCAAGGCTATTGCTAGATTGATTAGTGATCAAACATATTTATAAACATCAGATGCCGGATTGAAAAAAGAGACCAACAAAAATTTCCTCTGTTGGTACTTCTTATCACTTTCCCTTGAGTCAAACAACTTATCTTTTGTTCTAATGCAAAATGTCCTCTTGCTGAATACTTAATTTTCATCTGCGGAAGCTCCTTCGGATACTTTGATTCTCTACAATCTATTCAGTGTGCTTTTTGCTGTAAATTCATTCGTAATCGTGTCCATAGGAGAAGTGAAGAGCCCTGTGAGGTTAGACAACCCTCTAAACAACTAATACTGCATTTATTTTGTTACAAGCAGATTTTCTACCATTGTTGGACTACCTATATCTCAAAACTGATTTAATATTCTTCAGTTAAAATATACCTTAGCCTAATAAGAAACTTTCAATTATATTAAGTATTTTCTTTTGTTTTCTTCCAGACCACCAGACTTGGAAAATATATAAACGAACTAAGACGTAAGACAAATAATCAAGAATTATGGCGCCGCGCCAAAGAACTGCTCAAAAAATGGCGCAGCATGGTGCTTCCCGAAGTCAACGGCCAAATCAAAGTTCCAGCACCAACTCAACCGGGTACTTTGAAGGCAGCCACCCCCAGCATGGCAAGCCCACCTTTACAAGGGCAAGGCCTCAGAATACCTCCTGCAAGTGCAATGAAGGTATTTCACGAGTTTATAATTTTTCGAAAAATTGTAAACGAATAAATTTAACTTTCAAGGTGAGTCCACCAATGATGGTTACTCCAAAAATGGTAAGTCCTTCTCTTCAGAACCGGCTTGTTGGCCCTGGCGTACAAAAACTTGTAAGCCCTGCCCCGAGACTCATCAGTCCTGGCCAAAGACTTGTCAGCCCTGCTCAGAGACTTGTGAGTCCGCAAATTTCAAAGAAGCTGGTTAGTCCGCACAACAGAATGGTTAGTCCTGGCATGCCAGTGGAAAAACCTGTCAGTCCCCAGAAAATGGTGAGTCCTGCTGGGCAAAGGGTGAGTCCGAAATTAGCGGCGCAAGCACAAAGCCAAAAAGTGGGAGCTACGAGTCCTCCATTGACAGCTAATGCTGATGTTAATTTGAATCAGGTGAAAAGTAAAAAGAGGCAAGCTGGTGAAGCATTGGATAGTATAAATGCTAAAAGGTAAATTGAACTTCAAAGCACTTTGATGGTGACGTCATTGGGGCATAAATAATCCTTTTTTGATGTCATTGCAATGTTTAGATGGCATAAAATTTCAGATCGAGGCTAAACGGAGGCGTCACAGACTTAGATTTTTCCGATAACTCGAATTGTAGCTTCAAAGATGGTTTATTATCGGTACCGGTCATCAAGCAGGAACCTAAGCAAGAAGTAGTGGTTATCAATTCAGATTCAAATTCAAGTTTTCAAGAAAGGGGTGACCCGTATATTGATCAACTACAACCAAAGAAAAGGGGACGGAAAAAAGGTAGGTCTATCAAGGCAATCCTACATGGACAAAAAACAAACTGCCCATAAACATTCACAAAATTGTCAAAATACAGAGAATTTAGGAAATATTTAGGTCATCAAAGTTTTAGATACTTCCCTTGGTTGTGGAAATGCTTACTGAATTATACATTAAAACAAATATTCCAGTAGAGAGAGTGGATTATTTATTTTCAGATTTTATTCATTGGTTTGAGTTCTAAACGTTGAGAATAATTTGATATTCAGATATGCTTCAAAGTAATCTAAAATAAATTTCACTGTACTGTAATACAACCTTTACATAGGTATCCTTTGTTAGGCTTATTTTTTGTCTTTGACAATTCTCAGAGCTTCAATTTGCTGTGCTAAGCTTCAAATGAAATATTTGATAATTAATTTTGTTTTTTCAGGGTCCAAAAATCACAAAAACCTTATAGACGAAGCCGAAACTTCATTTACTAATAAACTAGCAGTATCAGCGTCGAGAGGTAGCTCTAAAGTAAAAACTACCCAGGAAATTCTCGCCGGCATACAAAGTAAACATTCTGTAGCCGCTCTTAGTATAGCTGCGGGTCTTAAACCTCCCAAAGAAGATTTGGAAGAAAAGGCGGCCAAATTGACGGAAAGAGTATCTATGATAGATAGGAAATTAAATGCCAACGCTAATAGGAACAAGAATTCTCAAAAAAGTAACTATTTTAACTGGTCCACAATTTGATTTTGATTAAATTACCATTGTTTTTTTTTCAAGATAAATTGTCTTCGAACGCTACAAAATCCAATGAGCGTGTGATAGAAAGCGGGTCTGTGATCAACGACAGAAGTCTCTTGGACAAGCTGAAGCAAGAGCATGAGGACGACGATGATGAGGAAATTATAGTAGATGACATAGAATCGCTCGATAGCCATGAAGAAGAGAGTCAAGAGACTGATACAGCTAAAATTAAGGAGGAACCTCAGGGAATCAGGTAGGTTATTATTTTATTCAATCTACGTTTGGTAGTCTATAAATTATTAAAACAAGTGAAAATTTACTCTCATTGTGTATTCCAACTTGGGTTATTTTTCTCAAAAACCAGCCATATTTTCAGATCTTTGAGTGAAAAAGAAGCTCTAGCTCTACTACCTCCCATAGACAGATCTGTCCTGAATGAAATGTATCCAGACCCTCCCTGTACGTGTCGTCTAAAAGAGAACAGTAAACCAAGTGCTTTTTCGATTGGAGATGACGAGGACGAAGATGCCAAACAGTTGCCACCATTTCAAATCATTGAGGATCCTTTGTGTCCTGCCAAAGGTCATTTCGCTAAACAGTATCGGATCCAAGATATCTCTGAAGAGAAAATTCACAGGTAAGGAGTTGAACATTTTTTTCTGTATGTACCAACATTATTATTATTATTATTATTATTATTATTATTATTGTGAGTGATCTAAACCGATAAGCCTATTGCAATTATATAATGTTTTTTCTTTGTATGTGTGAGTTCAGTTGGATTATCTTTATACACTGGGTGAGTTGATTTTTTAAATTGTCCATTTCTTTATCCAGCGCGTTATTGAAGGCGTTGACAGTTGGTACATTTATAGTAGATTCCTGAAGGCTGTCTGTCTGTATACTCTATTGCTCAAAAAGTTCTTCCTCAAAAGCATAGTAGATCTTGTTAAGTTTCTTTGAGTAGTAGCATAGTTATCGTGTATGGGAAATTTGGAAGAGTGCCAGATCGATTTTTGGACTAAAATAATTCGTTAGTACCTTAAAGGTTTCGATGACACCACCTCCCTCTCAACTTTCGCTTAGTATATTTAGCCCGAATATTTCAAGGTGTTCACGGTATGGTTCACATCTGGAGGTATCTTGGTGATTCTCTTTTGGACTCGTTCGATAATATCTATGTCTTTTATATAGCAGGGGCTCCATACAGCATGGGCATATTCCAGCTTAGGACGCACAAAGGTTTTATAAAGGCTTTTTATCATTTACACTAAAAGCCCTCTTCAATAAGTACACTAGGGTGTTAGCTATTTTAGTCATGCATACAATGTGACGCTCCCGTTTTAAGTCAGAGCTAACAATAACTCCCAGCTCCCTTTGTTGGTTGACTTTTCGGACTACGCGTGTTCCAATTGTATACTCAATTTTCGGCTTATTTTTACCGATGTGCAAAGCAGTGCACTTGCTCTCGTTGAGGCTTAGCATTTATTCATTGGTCTAATGGAACAGGTTGCGGAGATCTTCTGTCAGTTTGAGTGCCATGGGTTGGATTGCAGTAAAGCTTTGTATCGTCAGCAAAATACGTGATACCAGACTGAAGGCTACTTCCTATGTCACTGATGTAAATAATGAAGAGCAAAGGGCTGAAGAGAGAGCACTGGGGCACCCTACTCAATGTTTTGTGCTGTTCAGATAACACCCTATTTGCTCTTACTGTGAACATTCTGCCTTGTAAGTAACTGGAGATCCATCGCAGTAAGCTACCCTGTACACCAAGGTGGTCAAGCTTCTATAAAAGTGTTTGGATTGGAACCCTATCAAACGCCTTCTCAAAGTCAAGATAAACAACATCAACAGTCCCTCCACTATCTACTTCTTTTGTCCACTTTTTTAAACACGAGGTTTGTGGAGGTAGATCGTCCTGGTAGAAATCCATGTTGGTCTGCAGGAATAATGTCATTTTCCAGAACAAAATCCTTGATTTTGTCGGCCACAACCCTCTCCATTGACTTACATAAAGTGCATGTTAAACTTATGGGACAATAATTTCCAGGGTTGTATTTGTCTCCCTTCTTGTAGATGGGCTTTATAATAGCCTTGGTCCACTCGCTTAGCACTAGTCCATTCTCCATTAGATTGTTCATTGCCGATGAAAAAATATGGCTGAAATGTTGTCAGGACCGGGGCTGGCGTAAATTCGACTGATGTTATTTGGGCAACTGAACGTTTCTTGTCTTGGGAAATTCTGCACTGTTTCTGTGGTGAAGACTTTCTCAAATCGATTCGCCAAGGTTTCTGAAGTCTGCTTAAAGAGAGCTTAAGTGTCGTGAGTTTAATATCCAATAAAATCGAATCAATACCATCAGGCGGTTGAAATCTCTAGTTTAATGCTAGTGTGGGTTTGACACCTGTGATGCTTTCACGTACATAAATTAAAACTCCACTCCCTTGTGGGGGAGTTGGAGAATCATGTTCACTACTTTTGTCTAATAATAAAATTGTGCTTCACACCCAATACTTAGTCCAATTAAATATATGAAATAAAACATTTCAGGTTACATGAAGAGAGCCTGCCAAATATGAATGGAAATTGGAGTTTGGGAACACCGAGGCCCGACTCTCAAAAAATAGACGGGTTATATGTAAATGTAGTGCCTAACATATATGAGCGACTTGACAAGGACTTGAGGCCTTTTGATTCGTTTAAAAAATACAGTTTTTCGGAAGGTATTATCTCAAATATGAATACTAACTTAGACATAAGAATGATGTTTTTAGGTGAAGGTGCCACTAGTGCTATAACAAACAATGTGATAGAATCTGAAGAAGCAAATAGTGATAGTGTTATAATAAAATCAGAACAGGACCAAGAAGCAAAAGTAGTGAATAATAGTGAGCACAATGATAATAATCGGACAGAGGAACAAAAAGTTTTTAGGGAATGGTACGAATGCGTCGATAGATCTAGTTATAGTGGGGAAACTTTAAGGATTTTGCCATATTGCATTGTAGATTAAGCTTAACTTCGAGCCAATTTAGGAGTTTTCTTTTTGGGCCTTCTAAACTGGCTACGATGCTGGGATAACTAGTCGTTACTATCTTAAAATAATTTAGAAGAATAATAAATCAAGTGCCCTGGTTGAGATTTTTGGTATTTATGGTAAAGCCCCAGCACTAGCCTATTTCTAGTCGAAACGTGAGCTTGTTTTCTATCATTGAAATCAACTATCGTGATTTGTGATGGCTGAAGGTCTTTTTAGATAAGTTCATTTAAATTATTGTCAACAAGAAGTTTATCATAAATGACTTATATTTATATTGTGTCAAATCCAATAAAAATTGGGACAATTTTTGAACTATATACTTGTCAAACATAATAGGAGCCAATTAATATGCCTCTAGTGAACCAATACAAGACCTTTGTCTTCATCTTTATTAGCGGAAAGTAAGACATTAATAATTTACTTCATTTGCTACTAAGACCTAATATGACAAATCATTTATTCGAGCTTTTACCTAAAACACCTTTCAAGCTCTACATTCCCTTTAATGTTAATTTAGCAAAGGAAAAAAATCCATTCTAAAATTGCGATTTCAAACAAAGCTTGGATTTGGAAGTGAACAGATGAGAAATTATTGTTTTAGTTAATATTTATTTTTTTTCCCATAGAGTTTTGTTTTGATTTATGGAAATGTGTATTCTAATTTTGAAATATGCTTTTTCGCAATCAAAAAGGCAAGCCTTGTACAGATAGTAGTTATGCAAATAATTGAAAACAAAAATATCAACAGAAACTTTTATCAGATTTTGAAAATACATACATAAAAATGTATACACTGATCTCTAGGGCCTTATAAAAGAAATTTAAAAATAATACTAAACGTAAACCTATTTTTTAAATAATGCATTTTTCCTATATATAAAACAAAAGGGCGTTTGCTGAGAGCCACACTTATTAAATATGGTTGATAATGTTTTTTTTTTATATCAGTTTAAAGCCAAAAATCTATTTAAATATTATGGTTTTTATTATTTTGAAGTATTGGGAAATATGTTCAAGAGTCTTAAGACTCTTGACATATTTTTTAATATATTTTAAATGTTTGGCAAGGTAAAGAATCCATCAGGAGTTGAAATGTTTTATCTTATACTCTATCTAGCCTAAGTGAATCTTAGTCAAACTCAAACATTTATTATGGCTTATTTCAAATTCCTGATGTATTCTTTGTGTGTTTTTCTATTTTACTTGCTAAGCTGAGTATAGGAGTGGACCAATAGAAATTGTTTATTAGAGCTGCTTCAACTAGGTATTAAAAATAAATTTTAACGTTACATTTGAACTACTTTTGAGGCCAAATTTTTCAAAATAAAAATCCATTAATTTTTACTTATAATCCACTCCTGAACTTTTGTATTATAATTCTTCTTCCTATTACTATTATTTTGTATGTCTCTTATTTATTTTGTTAAAATTTTGGTTAGAAAATATTTTAAAAAAAATTGTTATGTAATGGAATTTTCTTTTTTATTATAAAATTAATTCATTTCGGAATAAAACTAACCTAAGCTCACATAGTTCGTTGAGGCCCATAACACGTTGTTAGTTATCAGAGCAGGTAGAGAAATAAAAAAGCATTGAAGAGAAAACGAAACAAACTTGTATTCCTCAAATTATAATATGGACCTTTGAAACAGTTTTAGAAGCCCTTGAATAATATTATTAATACATTCTAATAATTATAAGTTCCTATTATTTACCACAAAAGTAAGTAAAAAATGATAATATTTTACTTATACAGAAAGTGAGTGGCACTGGAAACTTTTTTCATAATGATCAAAGTTTTTAATGGCCATACTCTGTATACAGGGTGTCCTAAAATTGTTCAAATGAACTACCGTGAGCAACAAAAATTTGATTTATTTGTATCAAATAAAATTAGTCGATTTTATCTGTGTATAGTCTTTGTTTAAAAATTCTTGTATCACATTTTTTTTTTATATTCCATATACATAAAAATTATTATTCTGTCATTTTCATTGATTATATCATTTTTCATTAAAATTTTAGTAGTTTTTTTTTTAATATAAAAAAAATATTTATTACTTTTTAAAGACATTGATTGGTATTGGAGTTTATTTATTTTTTAATTACTTATTATATTTGTTATACATATTTGATTATTAAATAAACTCTCAAATTATTATTAAGTATATTATTAATGGCAAAATTGTTGCAGAAAAAAATGTTTTGAATTACATAATAAGTGTTATAATTTATTTATATAATTTCCCCGAAGTGACCTTTTTTCCGTTTTTCCTGTTTCCTTTTTTTTATTGTGTAAATAAAGTCCGCCTATAATGTTGAAAAAATATTTGTACAAAACAAAAAAATATGATGGTTTATATCTATAATTACATGAATTAAATGTCAAAACATTTGCTTTTTTTTATTGTTATAAATAGTGATGTCGTTTTGATATTTGCCTTCGAGAAAATAAAGGATATTTTCTATAACTCCATGAATGCAGTTTTATTCAATAACAATATACAGTTGGTAAACAATTAATAACAACTATACAACGGATATATTTAAGAATGAGTTTTGTTTGTAATAGGTGGTGACTAAACAATGAACTTGCTTACTGTGCTTTTCGCCTTTATATAAGTAATTTCTCGACAATGTTAAGTCAGTCAGTTCAATTTTATTGTAACAATTTAATTTTTACAGCTGTATGCAACATCCTCTTTCAACTCAAAAGTGCTTTTTAAAACTGGTACCTTTAAAAATTTCTATTGCTTAGAATACACATTTTTAAAAGTGACTAGTTTTAAAAAGCGCCTTTAACTTAAAAGAGGATGGTACATAGTATGTACTACATACAGCTGGTAGAGTTAAGTCTTGAATTTATAATTTTTGTGTCGGAAATAATTTTTTTAAAAAACGTTAACCCGGTCTACTACGTGTTAACTGGCGCAGTCATGCGGATGATTTTTGGGACTGATATCAAATCGCCGATAAATAGGACAAACCAAAAATGTCTGTGTATCTACGTGGCTGTGTTGTCTGTCAGAGTGGACTTCTGGAAATCGAAAACCCAAGTTCGTTGGGAACCTGACAAACAAAGCGATCGGAGGTTAGACAAAAATATGACAGTTTTTCCCGAACTACTATTCTTTATGTCTGAGAAAAAATATATACAGGGTGTATATTTTAAGTGATACCACTATTGCTATATCCGAAACGGTAAGAGCTACAAGGTCGGTTAAATTAGAAAAAAGTTGCCTTTTTTGATGCATATTCAAGATTTGTTAACAGTGTTGCCTAATTTCCTTAGGTTTATGAAATACAGGGTGATCTCTAAGAAACGCCCAAAAATATGTCATCAATTATTTCGGAATCTATTGATTTTCAAGACACAATTTAAATTTGAAAGTTTTATAATTTTTTCCGCTCTACAACATGGCATCTTCAAATTTCAAATTTGACGTTTCGTGATCGAGCCACCATCATCAACTTCATTTTTTTAAATACGGACATGAATTTTTTATGCCATCTTTGGAAAGCGCCCTTCATTCTCTTTCTAAAAATGACATTAAAAATCCAGGTCCGTATTTAAAAAAATGAAGTTGATGATCGAATATCAATCGTTTTCGAAATAATTGATGAAATAATTTTGAGCGTTTTTTGGAAATCACCCTGTATTTGATGAACTAAAAGGAATTTGGCAACACTCTAAACAAATCTGGAATGAGCATCAAAAAAGGCACCTTTTTTCTAATTTAACCGACCTTGTAGCTCTTACCGTTTCGGATATAGCAATAGTGGTATCACTTAAAATATACACCCTGTATATTATAAGGTAACAAAACTATTTAAAACACTCCGTCCGTTGCTTGGAAGCAGACTTTTGACCCTTGTAACTTGCTTATAATAGGTCATTGGTCCTATAAGTTTACGTATCCAAAAAACTACGTTAAGACCTTCTTCCGAATGACCAAGTTACTTCCAGCCACACTGTTGATATCCTATCTTATCGGTTTTTGAGCCAAATTTTGGCCAAAACATTAAAAAATCTCCATAATCCTGGAAATTATCTGCCTGTAAGGATAGGAGGGTAAGGTCATGAACTCGCCTTCCTGACACCAGTAACAGAGTGATACATGACGTGACACTTCGAAAAGACTTTGTTCTTTCCACAGATTAACTCGTCCTTGACGGGTTAATCTGTGGTTCTTTCGGACGGTTTTCTTTCAACCAAGAAATCAAAATTTCTCTCTCTTTCTTTTCAGGTTGTTTTAAGCTTATAGCCTTAAAATAATCTGGCGAACTAGAGGACGAGAAGACAGCTCAGAAACCTTAGTTAAATTGGCAAATGTGCATACTACTAATTTATTGACACATATAGTGCTATGAAAGATTTTTTCCACTCTATGCAAGTAAGAAGTGAGAAATCTTGCCAAGTTTTCTGGAGTAGGATTATTCATGGCAAATCCTGTTCTTTCCGCCCAACTGATCCATTTCTTCCACGGGGAGATATATTGTAGCAAAATGCCCCAAGTACTCTATTTAATTAGTTAGATGGTAAATGACGAGCACAAGGTTTACTAAATTATATTTTATTATACTTAAGCCAAAAATTTAAATAAGCAAATATCTTTCTATTCCGACAGCCACTTCTATTTTCCTAACTCAAATTATTTCACAACCGTTCAAATTTCATAACTACGGACCAGGAAACATCCATACAAAAAAAAAACGCCCTACTTCTACTATTTTAATAACTTATAAGTTTAAGTTTATACATTACAACACTTCCGATTCACATTCCTATTAAAACTACCCTCCACCTTTATCTATAAATTCTTAAAATTCCTAAGTCCTTTACTGACTGCCTATGGAAAATAATTATTTAAGTCATAATCTGACTCACTGGATTAGGTATATATTATGTATTACCAACTATATTTTTATAAAAACCTTACAATAATTTCTAAGCGGATAAAACCCTAAATCAAAACTCATTTCATGAACAATAAGTTTCATTTCAAAACTTCATATTTACATTCAATGGTTTATTCTTTTACTAAGGATCAATTTAATCAGAACAATTACTATTTTCGGATTCCTAGCCAACAAACACAATTATTTAAATTCTTATTAGTTAGTTACTATAGCCCTTAAAGTTCAGTTGGACAATCCAATTCAACATTCTTTAATAATTCCTACTCAAAATCGAATATGGTTAAAAGCATTATAATTTTCCCTGTTAAATTCTTTGCAAAATTAATTAAAATGTCATTATATTCGAAGGCAATTAAAGTTATGCAATAGAGTTTTTACAGTCAAATCACTCAAGTTTTTATGCTTCAAAAGTTTAATCACACAAAGTCATGTTCATCATTTATAGTCAAAATAAAACTTGTCACTAGAGTATGTACTTACATTCATCCTTAAAACGCAAATCTAATCTAATTTAATTATTTTTGATTACTTAGAGCTCGCACATAATGTTGAATGACTTTAAATGTCATTTCTTTCACAATTTTCCGTACTTTTCAGACATTCGACTAAATGCGTTTTTCCGAGGCCAGAAAATAAAATAAACTCTTCGCGAATTTTTAACCGGACTGGCTCATTAGGTACTGTAGATTTAACTCAAACTGGACTGAACTGCAAACCACTTCTAAAACCGCCTGTTTTAAATTTTTCGATTCCCTCCAAAATATTATTAATTATCCACCAAAATCGACAATAGGCGGTCGTTAGACCATCTATAAGTAAATTCTATTGGTCGACCTAGATGTTATTCCAAAAATTAATTTCATCGTCAAAAGATGATGATGCAGTCTATTCGAAATTTTTGTAATTTTTATTTGTTTAAAATCGAATAATTATGTCGCAATTTCCTGGTTTATCGGGGTCAACAGATTTGGTTGGAAGAATTGGACATAACACAAAGAAAGCCGAAACACGTGCGCCATAAATCACCTATTTAATTACTTTGGCCTCGCTTTTAATATTTTTAGGAATTTTAGATGACACAGGCTTGGTGACGAAATAATATAATTTTGAACGTATTCGGGGCCAACGTTAATTTGTTCCATTTTCAATTTATTGATACTGATTTGAAATACAGGAAATTCAGTTTTTGATTATTTGATTACATTTAATTTTTACAGTAAAATCATTGTAATTATCGGGTCTATTTTTCCCGGGTCATTACAATATGTTTCCAGGCTGATTGCAGTAGCTCACGGTCCTCATTGTTTTACCCGTTTAGTAGGAGTCTAAGCCACCCCGAACTCTCCAGGCCTCCAAATGAAGTGACTTCACCTGCGGAGAGGGGAGATTGCTGTTCATGTCTTTCAAATGTTGCTCCACTTTGTGAATGTAGAAAGGTGGGCCCACCGCTCGAGACTTCAGATCTGGTCTCCAGTATACTTTCTCCCCAACAATTAGAATTCCCTTCGCGGAGTTCAAATGTTGAAAAACTCACGGTACAAGTGGGGCAGGGGAAAAATCCAAGCCAGCTGATAGTCCCATTATTGACTGAACGCTTTCACAAACTGTGCCTTGCTGTCCGTCGCATCCAAAATCGCATTCTTGGGAACCACTGTCAATGCTCTGGTTGCAAAAAGATTGATTTGTGGAACGCCCCATATCCTGAAAATCTCGTTTGTTATTATTTGGGAGAGGCGCCAGTCGGGAAGCATCTTCTGTCGAGAGAGATTGTCTGCTATCCCGTTGTAGATGCCTGGAATGTATCTGGCTGATATGTGGATTTGGTTGTTTTCTGTTGTATGATAGAGTTTTTCCATGTCTTATCCACCAATTCATCTCTTCTAGAACCTTCATGGGGATTGGAAACAATTTTCTTGGTAATTCCTCTGGTAACCTGCAAAAGCTCTTCTGTATCCATCTGCAGTGCAGTCTTCCCAAAGCTAGGAACAACGAACTCTGCGAAGTTTAGGCTGCCTAATAATGAAGCCGCCGTCGGCCAATTCCACTGACGAAATCTAAGACTGTGTTTAGAATTTTTAATATTGCCTTTTTCTTGATTTCTAGAAGACATTTTTTGTTTTGACCTGGATCCCATAGAATACCCAAAAACTCTACCCGTAATAGCGGGGCTATGCGTTATTTTTCTAGATTTACTTGCCTAGAAATTTTAAAATCTGAAGAGCTTGATTTGTTTGTGCCTGAAGTTGGCTTTTGTCTTGATTTGCAAGAAGAACGTCGTCCAGATAAACCACTACTCGCATTCCTAACGACCGAAGAAAGCTGGCCACCCAATTTGACAGGCTGGCAAACATTTAAGGGGCTTTTGCTAGGCCAAAAGGTAGACAGGTCATGCACAAGAACTCGTCTCTGTAAATTAGTGCCGAAAATCTTTGATGAGATTCCTTTATCGGACGGTGGAAATATGCTTGGGAGAGATCTATCTTTGTCAAATAGTTGCCTTTTTGGAGGAAACTATGGACCTTGTAATGACTGATCAATGTGAACTTTTTCGGGTCTGTGAAAACGAATTCTTTTACACACTGGCATACAATTACAAAAACTTAACATCATCATCGATGTATTGAATTTTATATAGTCGACCACTTTACTTAATGATTATTGCCTTGGAAGAGAAAAAAACGCAAAACGCATAATGACCTTCCTTATATGCATATTAAAAATTACTACTGTGATATAATTTCTGGGAAACAATGTAAATTAAACCGTCAAAAGGATTTATTTATAAAATCTATATCAGAGTCCGGCACGATTTGTGAAAGGTATTTTATTGATTTAACGGGTAATTAACAGTAGCGTAGGTGACCACCCTCTCATTTATAGTTGAATGTTTTTCCCAACTTTGCTGAAAAATAAAAACTGTATAAGAACTCCTCTCTAGTTTTGGAAGCAGATTTGTATTAGTAGTTTGTTATAATTTGCGCACAATGATTGCTAGAAATTGACTCTTTTGACTCGTTGATGGGAAAAAGATCCATATATATTTATATCTATTGATGACGAAAACGAGACAAATTCTAAAGTAGATTGTACTGTAGAAATTGCTATAAACGATTGTCCGTTGCAAAGCGAGAAAAGCATATTACTAGCTTTCAAAGAGAAAATTTGTATAGTCTATTAGATTGATTCTAGTATAACTTACATATGAGCATAGATATGAGTTAGATTATAACTTTCTCTAAAAAATAGGCAAATAAATCTACCTGGATGTATGTATTTCCACTTCAAGAGGATTTTTTTTGTCATTTGATCTACCTTAGAAAATGCCAACACCTTCCTAAAATCTACAACTTTTTTTGTAGCTTGAAAATCTTTTGTAGAAATAGTTAAACTTTCATAGAGTATGCATGCAACCAAGATATTTGAAATAATCTACACTCCTCCGATAGATAAATTTTAAATGCTACTACGCCTCTGAACTGCATAATAAATTTTTGTTAGAAAAAAAAACTCTCTCAAGTACAAGTTCAAAAGGAAATTTTCAACCACTCTACTTTTGTCTCTCGGAGCAATTATTAACAAAAAAAAATAAAATGTTTTTTGATTTGCCTCTAATAGTGAGTGTGCCTGGATCTGTGATTTTCCTTATAGTGTTTTTGATAGTGAAATCACTGTTCGATAAGAGGCATATTTTCAGGTTTGCCAGAGATTATCCCGGACACAAGTTTTATCCCGTCATTGGAAATGGATTTCACGTTATTGGAAAAAGTAAGCCAGACATTGAAAGAAAATTGAGATTTGCATATTAGTAATAATAATATTAATAATCATATTTTATAGTAAAATTATCGTACTTATTGCATAAATCTATAATATCTGTGAATGTTAACCTTGATTCTCCAGATAAAAATAACCCATACATATATTTTCAGATTTTTTCGTTGCTGTCCAAGATGTAATCCACAAATTTGGACATCCTTGTAACTTATGGCTTGGACATGAGTATAACTATATTACTGCGGACGCTGCCGAAGTCAAAGCGGTCTTAAACCATCCCAATACGTTTGATAAAATGAGTTTTTACGATACTTTAAAGATTGCGTTTAGACATTCGATACTTTTGGCTCCAGGTTAAAGATTTGAGTTCAAATAGTAATTATCAGAATTTACATTTTTTAATTTTCAGATGATATTTGGAAAGGACGTAGGAGGTATTTTGCCAAAAGCTTCAGTCAGCCTTTGCTCAATACTTTTGTGCATTTTTTTTACAAAAAGAGTGTTATTCTGTTGGATATATTGAAGGATGCGGGTGATAGGGATGTTTTCGAAATATTTGAGCGGTATACATTCGATAGCTTTTGTGGTAAGTCATAATAAAAGAGTATTGATTTTATTTCGATATGATTTTTCCATAGAAAGTATTATTGGTTTCGACTATGATCTACAAGTGAATCCTAAAATAAATTTAGTAGAATGCATAAGCGAGTAAGTACTTTGAATTCATATAAACGGAATCAATTTGCGCAATAATTTTTATCTCGGAGGTAGCTGGAAGTGATTAAGGATTTTTTTAATTTTTAAAAAGTGCTTTGTTGATTTTTTTAGTGTTTTGTAGATTGTAGATTTGTTTGACTGGAGATGGGCAGAGGTGTCTTCTACCACTGCAACCTTGTTAGATTTATTGTGGTGTCTCCTATCATTGGTATTTTATAATTGGACCCTGGCCTTGCTTCGGTCTATAGAGTACCGCCTTTTTTTTAGTGTTTAATATAAAAAATCATGAGACCAATTTTGATACAGAAAGTCGATTAGCAGATTCAAACAAACAGGCATATATTATGAAATGAAACCTAAAACTGGTGCCCTGAAATTATTGTGAACCTTGTATTGAGCCCCTAAACACATCACACAAAATGTTTTCCAGTGTTTTAAGCAATACACGACTTACAGTGTTCCTACTGAGCATTTTTCAAGTTTTAGTACCTACTAACTAATCACACTTTCGTTCCCAGAAAACAAAATCCAAGTTGAGTCAAGAAAAATTTCAAACCTGGAAAAGCTGGTTTTCTGGACCCTCGATTTTCAATATAAATTTTTTAGGCTTCAAGCTATGGGCGGAAAACGTATGATTACAAACTTTTATTACCCAATGTATTTGTGGATCTTTTCAAAAGAAGGCAGAAGAGCGTGGAAATTGCTAAAAGAAGCCAGATCAATTGTGTATAAAGTAAACTAAATTCTTAATACAAAATATATGTATACTAAATAACTAAAACATGTTTAGATTTGCCAAGAAAAACGAAAAATATTTGCTGAAAACTCAGTTTGTTTGGATAGCAATTTACCTTTGCCCCTGCTGGACTCCATGTTACAGTCTACGGGAGAGAAATTCAGTGATAAACTAATCTTTGAGGAAATGTTTTTGTTCACCACAGCAGTAAGAACCTAAAACTTCAAAACAAAGAACTTCTTTATTGACAAAAAAATCATTTTCAGGCTACTGATACTTCTGGTTACACCCTCACCTACTTTTTCACTATGCTAGGAATGCATCCTCAAGTTCAGGTAAAGCTCATTTGCATTCCTTTGAAAAAAACTGATTAAGATTTTCAGGAAAAAGTCTATCAAGAAGTTATGTCAGTTGTTGGCTGTGATCGGCACATATATTTTGAAGATTTACCCTATTTAAAATACACTGAACGAGCCATTTTGGAAACTATGAGAATTTTGCCTGTGACACCTTTTCTGGGTAGGAAAGCTAGTGCAGATACAGATATTGGTAAGATATTTAATTTTTTTATTTGTATAGTATATAAACTGCTTAAATTTAGGCACAAAACTAATTCCTGAGGGTACCAACATATTTGTCAGCGTTTTCGATTTGCATCGTAATGAAAAATACTGGCCTGAACCATTAAAATACGATCCAGATAGATTTTTACCTGATGAGGTAGCTAAGAGAGAACCATATGCTTTTATACCATTTTCTGGAGGACCAAGAAATTGCATTGGTATAAATAATTTTTTTATTGAAATCAATATTGATATTGAACAATTGTTTCAGGTAAGACTTATGCACTTATGTTAATGAAAACCTGCGCAGCCAATGTGGTAAGAAACTATGAAATTTCATCGCCCTACAAATCTGTGACCGATTTGAGGCTGAAATCCTGCGTCACCATGAAAACTATACATCCGTTGGAATGTAATTTTAAACCAAGAATGCACGACTAGAAAGAGGAGATAAAAAAACAATATTTAAGTAACATTTTGTTTTTAAAAGAATTACGATTTTTTTATACAGTATTATGAAATGATATTTTACAAGGCTTATTTTTTTTGCCAATTGTACTGGGTGACAAGGCACAAAGTACCATTCCTTGTAACTTATTTATGTACGATCAAAAATAAAAAAGTTACAGGGGGTGGTACTTTATAGCTTGACACCCTGTACACTCTTGATTTCAGTGTTCAACTGAATTAGGGTGTTGAGCGGCTTCCTGTAATCTTTGAGCTTCTCGTTCAGCTCCAATTCTAGCGTGTTCGTCGGCAATTTTCTGGAAAAGCGTGTAGTGTTTGTTTTTAGCAAATTGCACTGCTTGGGAGTCTCTCGGAACACTTGCAACCTAAAATAAAACAACAATAAATATGATTAATTATTCAATTTTTTGAGATAATTATCGACAGAGCAGGAAACTGGAGCCTATTGGCATTAAGCTTTAAAATAGGGCAATTAATCACTTGCTATTGGATGTAAAACACTAGAAGCCAAGCTGATTCACACAGAAAATTATTTTTATTTATTTATTTGGTTCTTATCTTTATGTGAAATCCTAAGGTACATATACGTAGTAAATTATGGTTCCTTACCTCTTGTGTACGTTGGTGAGCATCAGCAATTTTAGCGTACTGAACCAAATGTCTATGTTTGGCAGCTGCGACCACTGGAGTGTCATTTGGAGCTGACGGAGGGTTAAGGTTGAGTATGTGGAAGCCGTTGCGGTCAGCTATATAGTCTACTTTGCGGATTTGTAGTTTGGGGTCTACGTACGCGTAGGAACCTTAAAAAAGAGATTTGGATTATTTTCGGTTTTATACCTAGTTAAGAAAATTAAAGAGTACTTGCAAAAAAAAGATTCAGGGGGACTTAAAAAAGGTTTTATTCTAGTAAGACTTTCAGTTTCAACAGTGTTGTTACTTTACCAATATAAGCTGGAGGATATTTAATATTTTAAGCCAACAACAAGGGCTGAATCATTTCACGTGCCTGAAAAAATTGCAGTTGCAGCATTCTATCTTTCTTCTTAACAGATCAATTTTTTTAGATTGACAGTTCTTAATTACATGACCGCATCTGAAAACTTTATTTAATTCTACTTTGTCATCTTGATATTTATTCGAATGAAACTTTCTTACGCCAATAACTCTCAACTTGCAAATTGTCATTTGAACTTATTTTTAAATGTTGCTAACCATTTTTCCTGCGATCTCGATTTCTCAACTTTCTCAAGGAATATAAAAAATAGGGACATTTAGAAAAATGTATAAGGCAGATTCAGTGAATCTTATCCCAGCAGAGGTCTGCAAACCCTGGAAATTTCAACTCATTTGGACTTATCGTTCCTGATATAAAATCGTGTTAAAGAATGTGGAGTGGATTTTTGGATTTTTCAATTGTTTCGCTACTCTTTTCTCAAAGATTTCGGCTTCAAATCTATTAATAAGTCACTGTATGAAGCTTCTAGAGTCTCAAATGATCGTTAAAAGTGAAAATAGCATCATTTAAAAATTTGCAATTTGACCATTTTTGAAGGAAGACTCCCTACTTTGGATTTGGATTTTTAAAAACTTTAAAACATTATAGCTCCAGTTGTATCATAGATAGAAAGCTGAAATTTTCAGTGAATCTTATCTCAGCATGGGTCTACAAACCCTGGAACTGTCAACTCATTTGGACTTGGAGTTCCTGAGATAAACTCGCGTTAAGGAATGTGAAGTAAATTTTTGGATTTTCCAATTTTCCTTTTTTTAAATATTTCGGCTTCAAATCCCACAAGAAATAACTGTATGAAGTTTCTGTAGTCCCAAATGATCGTTAAAAGTGAGAAAAATTTGAAATTCCATCATTTTTAAAGGTAGACTCCCCCCTTCGGATTTGAATTTTCAAAAACTTTGAAAAATTATAAATCCAGTTGTATTAAAGATACAAAGCTGAAATTTTCAGCAAATCTTATCCTAATGAAGAACTATAATCTTTGAAATTGCTTGATGTGATTTTTATTTATAGTTGTAAAAGATAATTACATACTTATTGTTATTTGTATGTGAATGGCAAATCTATGAATTAATTATTTATTTATTCAGGTACTCGTATTATATTCTATGTATTTTTAAATAATTAAAGTCATACATGCATGAACATAATAAAACTAAATCGAAACTTTTTGCTGCTCAAATTGATAAATCAAAAAAAAAAACACACTTCAGCTGCATCAAAGTCCAAAATATTTTAAAACTCATGTGCAATAATTAGAAAAATATAAATTTAACACACAACTCAACTGCGTCACCGCTTATAAAACATAAAAATCAACAAACAAAATTCAAGTTTAAAATCTGCATTTGTTGAAATCACCTAAGGCAATATATTAAGTAGGTAAATATTCCAGAAACTTCTATTACCTTGTACAACTCCATTACCATCTGAAACCTCTGAATGAGTCCTGTCAATGTGTCCAGAAAATCTACCAGCAGCATATCCAAACGCATAAGGTCTAGGGGGTGGAGGTAAAGTAGTTATTTCTTCTTCTACTTGGATATATCCGGCCAAGGATATTGAGAAAAAACAACTTACAATCACAACCTAAACAAAAATATTTAGTTACAACAATTAATCCAAAAAAGCTTAAATGTGTAAAACTCTATTAATGGTTAGTTTTATAAAACTTAGTATAAATACTCTTACCTTTCTTAACATGATGAATGCCGAAACAAAATACTTTATTACACAAATGATGTAACTTAAACCGTTCGCTTCGCCTGAATACGTTTTGTACGCGTGCAGAATTTAATTTAATATTAAAAATCCACACCGTCTGACTTGAAAAAGTGAAAGTCTGTGGTGCGATATCAGTTCTTTGGGTTCGCGTTTAATTGCCAAAAGCTAATGATGATCTTGAACTATATAGGTTTGATTTTTATGTTTTGCAGGGTTTGTTTAGGTTTTTTTTTGGGTGGTCTTGGGAGAGTTTTCGCTGTTAATATTTTGAAGATGCCTTATAGGTAGGTAGAATAATGAGATGAAGTGGGTAATTTTTGTTTCATTAACAAATATTCCTAATGTTTGAAAGCTGACTCATATTTTTAAGGGCTTCTGCATATAGATGAATATTTTCACTTTAGCTTAAGGTTATCCACCTGAAATTCGACCGGTTTTCAAATTGTATTTTGGTGAAATGTTCTTTTATCTGCTTACTTATATATATTGGTACATGTGAGCGTTAAGTAACTTAGGTATACCATTCAAAAGCTATTGAATGTAAATTATATTTGAGCAATTATTTAAATAAGGTAAATAAATCTTGATAATGTCTAAATAAATAGTCTTTACATTAAAAAAAAAATGTATAATTTTTAATTTAATTTCAACTATCAAATCATCACACATTTCCCATTGAAAATTAAAACTATATAGAATATTCTTGAAATAAAATAACTAGAAATTTAATTTACGTCGTTTCGCTGACATCTTTAAAGGTCACTCCTGGGTATTCCTCAAGTTTAGATGAAAACAATGCATAAATCTTAGCATTTTTATTTTGTGAGCTCATCTTTTGTAAGCTTATTAACAAAAAACTTGTTATTTTATTGAATAATTTTGGAATAAATTACAGAGTGTGTGTAGTAGTTGGGATTGAAATGTGAGCTTTTAAATTTAAGAACAATAAGTTGATGTTATTGATAGTTGGGTTATGGACAGTAAAGTTTTTGGTAGTTTATAATATGTCCCAGTATTGCTATCCAAAAACAACATTGTCATTAATGAATATTAATTTACAATAATAATCAAAAAATATTGATAAACAATTACCTTTATGCACTGCATTTTGTCAGATTTATTCAATTAAAACTTATCAAAAACCATTTTATTTTTAACAAATCAAAAAATTAATTGTCAATACTTTACATTAATCCTCATCCATCAATGACAATCCTTGCATATCAATATTCTCGGGTATAACTTTGGCAACCTTCCTAGGTTCCTTAACAAGGGATTTGGGGCATTGCATCTCTGTCCAACTAACCGGAACCATTGGATAACCATGTTCACTGTGAGCTATCACTACGCCCAATTCGTTCTCGGCTGTGGCTAGTTGGTAGGAGTGAGCTTCTGTGATTGGTAGCTTAAAGAAGAATTGTAGTGAAGTTAAATATTTTTGTAATGAAGCGTTATCCAATTCAAGTAAATCATAATATTGAACGTCATGGAAAATTAAAAACCTCTGGATTTTCATTCTTAGGAATTGTTTTTTAAGGATTTATTACCAGCTCGCACCAGTCAGATATCTGATAATTTATTGTGCCTTTTGAGCATGTCTTTTATGAAATCTTAATGGTGTATCAGATAGGTATAGAATATTGATTCTTCAGACGCTAGATTCTTACCACTCTGGCCAAAATTATATCTCCTGGGCGAAAGCTCTTGTACACTTCAATTTTATCCTTTTCAGTTGCTCTTATACTGTCTCGCCTTATTATTGCTCTAAATGGACTTCTGAGGACTGTTCTTCCTATACATTTTATGAGACACCTTGCATATTGCTGATTTATTAAGTAAACCTGAAAATAAGAAAAGAAAATACTATTAAATTATCTACAGGCTTACAGGTTGACCAATTTTTCATTTGTTTATTCATTTATTTATTTAGGTTTGAAGTATACTCTACAGAACCAATTTTTAAATGGAACACTGTAGAAATCAATGACAGAAATAAACCTAAACAATGACATGCAAATTTACAATCTATGAGAACAGTCCTGATTGTAATTAGTGACTAGACACGTCATGATGCAATTCAGACTATAATTAGTTCTTATGCACAGGTTGGAAAAAGAGTTACCTCTGTCGGGTTTTTTTTTCAGGTACATACTCAAGGTTCTGATAAGGAAATTTTAGTTTGTAGAGCAGGTATTTGCAAATTTATTTTGCACTCCTTCTACCCTTCTACGTAACTTGCAAGTCCAAAGTGGGCTGCAGTATTCAAGTGTAGATCAAATGAGACTGTAATATAGACAGATGATGGACTTCATTTCATATAATGTCTCTGGTGTTTATTTGATGTAGCCTAAGAAGAAGAATTTATAGAAGTCTAGAACTTTTTATGACTGTTGTCGATGTGTTTGTTGAAAGACAGGTATTTTTCAAAGGTGCCTCCTAGGTCTTTGAAGATGTTGACTGTTTCCAGATTGGCATTGTTGATGGTGTATGTGGGCAGTATGGGATTTATGGCCTAGTGAAAAATCATGTGTTTGCACTTAGTCACATTGAGTTTGAGAAGATTTGAGTTGCATCAAGTAACCAGAGAGAGGTAGAGTGCCTATCCACACCTGCGAAAAACTTTAAGTCCTCAGCAGAGGGATGATTGGATGATGTCATTTATGAAAAAAAACAGAATCGGTCCAATTTCGGACTTAGATGGAACTATGAACTTGTGAAATACTGCACCGTACACACTACCGCTTTGACTTTGACATCTTTCCGTTAAGTACGATTCTATAAATTTTAAGAAACATATCTGAAAATTTTGTTAGTAGCAACTTATGCCACACACTATCAAAGGCAATTGAAATGTTTGTGAAGATCATGTCTACCTGTTTTCCTGATTTCAAAGCTTTGGTTAGAAACTGTTGGTAGACAGCAACTACAGCAAGATTTATCGCAGCATATGGGAAACTTTTTTATTATCAATTTTACGAAAAAAAGTTATTCTTTATAAAAGTTTCTGCTTCTTGAAAAAATAATAATAAACTACTAAAACTTGAAATAGAATGTACAGGGTGGTCGAAGAATAGAAAAATATACAGGGTGTTTCCTAAGTATGGTTTGTAACTTCAGGATATGATTCCTTACAATGTTTTAAGAAAAAAAGTTCCCATAAACATGTGCCCGGAAATGCGTAGTTTCTGAGATACAGATTACACTTTAAGAGATTCGGGGTTTACCCAGTTGATGTACCATATGATGTGTTGTGTATCCAACATGGTTACAGTACGTTAGATGTAAGAAAAAAATATTTTAATGTAATGTTTTTGTATAAACTTCTTGATTATCATGTGGAAGATGAATCTGTTGAGCCTGATAGATATAAGAGTACCAGATTTGAGAACTAGACAGTCAGAGATATTGACTTATGATACACCAAGAACAAATAGGCAGTTCACCTCACTTAAATTAAGAATGTGTGATATAATCAATGAAACAAATTTTGATATTTTTCAAAGTAAAATAATTTTATTCAAGGAGGTACAAAGTAGATTAGAATGTTAGGGTTGCTGGGTAGTTTGTAGTTTTAGACATTCTCTGTAAATGCAAGATGTAGAGGATATTGAATAAATAAATAAATAAATAAACATACTGATTAATTCCTTGTTGTATAGCTTCATATAAACTAGCCACTGCTTCGTAGTAGGATCTTTGGCTTTTAGTGATTGTCTACTTCCGTATGAGAAAATAAGCTCCTAAGGTGGATCCAATTAAGAGCTGCTCGAAGAGCTGATAATAATGAAAACTTAGATGTCTTTTAGATTCTAGAGGCTACATGGTTTGGTAGGAATCAAGACCCAATGATAGTAAAAATTTCAATTATTACATGGGTCAAACAAACAAAACATGGACTATTATCGGCCTTGATTCAGTGGACATTTTTTCTTGAAGTATTTAATTTAAAATCGTCTAGAAAATCAAGATCCAGAAATAATCCAAATTTTGTTTTTACTGGCTCTTGATTGCTTCTTTCTTTATTGGAGCGGATTAGAATACCTCCGCATTTATATCTGTAAAAGACAACTAAAAGGAACCGAAAACCTGCTGGTATAAGCAGTATCCTCTTGTCAACCAATAGCAGGATAAGGGAGTTAACAAGAGTCAGGTCACTCTCTTGTCCCACGGATGAGAAACTGGCCAATATCAACCACTCTACTACTAGAGGAAAGTCACATAGATCCAGGGATCTATAATTAATAGCTACTGTTTTTCAATCTTCACATTGGTTGTACATAATATAACTCGATTGCTATTGAAATTAGAAGGGAGGATTCAAGATGTTGCATTTTGGAGCACCCCTTAAATCTCCAATAGCGTACTTAGTTTTTCTCTAGAAGTGCTAGTTTTTGAGTTATAAATAAAACATACATTTTTTTAGATGAGACAGCATCTAATGGCAACTGAGTTATCTCTTTTAATGACAACCCTTGGTAAGTTACGGTACAAGGTACAACCAAAATGGGACACCCTGTACAACTTTAAGATAATTTTCCCTGTACAGTTGTGAAGGAATGGGACTGAAGCTCAAAGCTCAAAACTGAAGCATTGAGATTCCTGGTATAATTTTATCATTTTCTCCAATCTTAAAAGGAACTACTTGGTGTAAATTTACCTGAGCAGTGACTACATCTCCTTGGGATGGTATAACCGTTTGTTCGCCCCTTCTATGGACTTCAATAACTTTCAGATCGTCTTTCTGTACGATTTCCACTGTTCCAGCGAGCATTGAATAAATATAGCCTTGCCTTCTATAAGTCCCTTGTCCTGCGGTGTAGATTTCATCGCAAATCGATAAGCGTTGACCGGGAAGGCATATTAGGGGCTCGTTTTTCATTTTTGTAGTTTTAACTTAAAAAATTTAAAAATATTTGGAAAATTGAGGTTAGGTTATGGTGTTATTATTGTATTCTTCTTTTTTTTAACGTCGTCGATGTTTGTGTTCTGAGCTGCTTTCGGGTACCACCCTTTGAGCGCTCCCGAGTTACTCCGAAGTACTCGTGGTGTGAAGTGTTCTAGGAGCTTCGTACTCTCCACCCGAAAGCGGCTCTGCACTCTTGGAACTCAAATTTGGTCATTTTGATCATTCCACGCAGCGGAACAGTATGAGCATGGATATTGTCAAGGATGATACACACCTACAGGATTGCTTATCGGCCTCGTTTTTGGTAATCGCAATCGCCCCCATATTGGTGTGTCACCATTTTCGACGTCATCACTAAATCGTCAGCTGTTTGAACAGCCGACGTCAAGGCGAGAAATAACATGCTGCCTACGACACAACTTGTGAATTGGCCACTGATGTAGGGGGGAAGGGGGGGATTTGTTACACACAGGCAATATGAGGATAGGCCATCCTGTAGTAGTAGTGTGTAACATCCTTGGAATATTGTGACGTCATAAGCCGAATGCAAAAGAGAACACTCTGAGAGCTAAAATGAACAGGATCTAATCGTTTCGAGCGCGCTCGGAGTTTACCGAGTGTAACCCGAATTCAGCCTAAGGGCCAAATTATGGACTGACTGACTGATAAACGTCTGGTTGTTACCTAGCCTAGCAGGTACTTTCTATGCCCTAGAGAATAGAAAGTACCTGCTAGGTAACAACCAGTCACTTACCAGTTGGTCCATAATTCAGCCCTAACGATTATAAAAACGGGATTCCAGTGCCCCTGACTCCAGTGCATGTTTGAGTTTGAACACCAATTTGAACCTGATTTGAACAGACTCGACCAATAAATTCCAATTCCAAGTAGCTGTCAAATGTCAAGTCAACCCAACCTCTATTATGTCAATTTTGCTGTTTTTAATTTTAATCGAATACTTGCTGCTTTTCGGTTTCTCCCGCTTAAAAAAAATCCGAAAAGCAAATTAGCAAAAGCATTTCAATTTTGAAAAGTACCTACTCTATAATTTAACATTTGTTATTTGTTTTAACATTTATCTGATTATTCCCGACCAGACAGAGTTCATATAGAATCCAAAAGATCATTATTTAATTTAACATCCCTTGGGTATTGGGTAAAAACCAGCCCTTTCTAGATCCTTTTGTTTTTTCTCATATTTTTCTTGTAAAACTTTTAAGATGTCAGACGGTGACAACGCCACCACGTCCAACGGGGTCCAGGAACCAGGCCCCAGTGACGAAATGTCGATGTACAAAAAGGATGCTTTCAAAGTTGTTACTTTCCAATTAGGTGAGTGCCGTAATGCGGGCTTCATGATCATGTTAATGCAACTTTTTTGGTTACAGTTTACGATGAAGATGATTTGGAGTCTGATCAGGCAGTTAAGTTCAAGCCTGAGATGGCACATCAGATTTTTGGTGAGAGGTGAGTGACAACACAACCGAAAACCCAATGACAAAACCCTATTTCTAACGACAATTCAAAAAATTCAACTTTACTTTTGTTCTGTCTTTAATTATGTAGGTATGCTTGACTGAAATTTTGTACTTTTGATTATACAATCTACAGAGGGGCCAATTTAGAGGCTTTTAATAGGAGTAGGGAAGGAAACATCCATTTATGAGCAAAAATGATAACAAAAAAATTAATCCCCAACAACCTCCCATGCCCTCCTGTGGCCCTCACTCTGCAGCTCAAAATTCAAGGACCCCACACACCTCTTATGGGTAATTGTTTTTCTGTCAAACTCAATGAAATTTTTAAGAGGAACCTCCCTAAGTAATATTAATATACCATTCTACGCTATTTCAATATACGACATATATTCTGAGCTATCTAACTTAAATTCTTTCAAGGGTCCTGGTCCGGATAAAATTCACCCTATTCTCCTTGAAAATTTTCTTTCTGCCAGACCTCTGCACATTATATTTAACAAGTCTCTAAGATGTGGTTACTTCCAGACGTCTGGAAATCTAGTTATGTCGCTCCCATCTTCAAGTCTAGAGACAGTGAAGACGTGAAGAATTACAGGCTGATCAGTACTATGAGCACAATTCGCAATATATTTGAAATATTAGTAACAAAATACTTAACATCAGTACTATCACCTTTTATCTCAAATATCAAATCAAATCAAATCAAATATGCTTTATTGTCAGATAAAAACAGTTAGTTCCATAGACAAAGCAGTACTTATAATCTAAATAGTACCTAAATCTTAAGCCTAAGTTATAGTCTGTTTTTTAATGACTGGGTACGATAAATCAAACTCACCAAATTTTAATCCCTTAAACCCCTTACAGAGTGATCCAACACTTTCATTATCCTCATTCGTTTACACATACCCAATTTTTACAAACTGTTTCAAGAAAACCCACCCGAAACTCTTTTTAGCCGAAATTCCCTCGCCAAACAATGGGTTTTCGGGTTTAAAGAGGCGTATATTTGTAAATTTTATGACCCATAGGCGCAGGTAAGAGATTTTTGGAAAACAGAATATTTAAAAAAAAATCTATTTTATTTTCAATTTAAAGAAGGTACTTACATAATTATACAAACAATTTAAACCAATACTTATAATACAAACCAATACTTACAATACAAACAAATTAAATTGGAACAAACCTAATAAGAATAATAATTTTTAGGGTCTTCAAAAAAAAACACCAATCAAAGATTGCTATGATTTTTTAAGCGTACTTATGTTACTCTGCTTATGTCTTAGCTGTTTTCTATCAACTGACAAATAAAGGGACAATAAATGTCAATACAAAAATTTTGACATAATTTCTGTCCCAATTACATTATTTATGGAAATAGACGTTCAATGCGCGACATACGTTTTCGTGAGCATTCTATGATTTTTTTTTTTTGAAGACCCTAATTCTTGGAACTTTTTTTTTCAATTAATCTTCTGATGAAGAACTGTCATCATTCAAATTTATAATCAAAGGTTCAACTGTTGCCTCAATTAAATTGTCCAGTTTCCAAAACCTTTCCTCTACGCCAAGAACATGCTTAATACACTTCCGCCACTTATCAGCACTTACTTCTTGAATTGCCTCGTGAAACAATTTTTCCACATCTTTTATTTTAAAAGTTGTGTTTCCTCTTGCAACATATCCCTTGACTTGTGCCCAAATTAACTCGATGGGATTCAGTTCGCAATGGTGAGGGGGTAACCTAAGAACAATTTTTCCCTGTTTTTTTGCCATTTCATCTACGATACAATTGGAATATCTGGACCTGTATGGCTTTACTATTGCAAGCAATTCTTTCTTTACCATATTTTGTTCGAAGGGTATATTTTTTTCCAATAGCCAATTTTGTATTTTTACTTTGCTCCAGGACGTGATTGGAGTTTTTTCTTCTTTTCTGGAGTGGTAGCTGGCATTATCCATTACTATAACTGAGCCTTCGGGAATAAGTTCTATCATCTGCTCAAAATATTCTTCAAACACATCGGCATTCATGTCCTCATGATAATCTCCAGTACGGTTTGATATAAAGGGTGGCAGCAATCCGCCTTCTAAAAACCCATTCTCATTGCCAATATGAGTGATGATTAGTCTTTTTCCCTTTCCTGTTGGTGGAGTTATACCAGTTGACCATCCTTCCAAAAAAGCTTGACGAGAACTTTTAACGTTTTTATCTTGCCACATTTTTTTAACAGTATACCCTTGATTTATCCATGTTTCGTCAAGGTAAAAAATTTGCCTATTTTCTTCACGGTACCTTTTAATTTTTCTCAAGTAGTCCCTTCTCCAAAATACTACTTCGTCCTTCTCAATCAATATAGAATTTCTTCCGTGTGTTTCAAAATTAAAACCCAACTCTTTCAAAGTATTCCAGAGCTTGCTCCTACTTAGATTTGGTATGTCGTCATCATGTTTTATGACTGCCAGAATTTTGTCCAAGGTCGGTATTTCTTTTCTAAAATAGAATGAATGGACTTTTCTTCGAATTCCATTCAAGATGTCTTCATCAAGGTTAATTTTTCTTCTGCCCGATGGTTTTAAGGGTTCTCTGTAATACAAGAAAGTTGCTTGAGAAATTCGGCAAGCACGTACTTAATGCAGAAAATAAGTAGTTAAATATCATTTTTTACCTTAAAGCTTTTGTTTTCCGCTCTTTAAGAATTCTGTAAATCGTGTTTTTTCCATATCCTGTTTCATTTTGGCACATACGGACTACACTAGCTTCCGAACTTTGCAAATGTCTTAACTTCAGGCTATCAAATACATTCAGTAGTGTGATTTTCTCATTATAACTCAAAGGTTTCCGTTTTCTTCTAACCGGAAAAGAGGAAGAGCTCGTTGAAGGATTCATTTATCACTTAATATGAAAGCCGAAACCGCACTGTTCACTGTTCAATGTTTAGGACTTAACTGCTAAATTGCTGCTTCAAGAAAACTAATGCTAAATTGCTAAAACTATTCCAAATAAACCCATATTATACAGTACCTACATTTTTAAGAAGAAACATTATGATAATTTATCTAATTCTGAGTACTCTAACTAATGTCTTGCTCAGGTAAAATAATGATTCTATAATAATAGTTACGGTTTATATTCACAAATTTACTTGGCACTAAACCTCCAATTTTCATTTTTTTTTTACCTGTTTAAAATTGATGTGAAAACATATAAAAATCGTACCTACCTGTCTTTGAGAAATTTATTTGGAAAATTATTTTCTTATATAGGCACGCCAATGAACTACCTATACTAAATGCATTCTGACACTTTTATGTGTACCCTCTGATTAAAAAACATACTATAGAAACTAAAATGAACAGTAAAAAAAAATAACAAACAACTAAGTAGCCAAAAACAATTAACAATCGGCGCAAAAAGACAATTAAAAACAAACTCAAAGCTTGAACAAACTAACAAAAAATAAATAAAATCAACATAAAATTTAAAAAGTTTACATGAGGGAGGTACAAAGTTGTTTATATGCAAATAGTGCAGCCAATTATAACAAATAGCAAAAGTAGATGGTAAAAAAACATAAAAATAAAAAACATACAGGTAAAACAGTAAACATCAGATATGTAAAACAACATCTACAAATAATCATCATCAAAAAACTCTGACAGATTATGATAAGCCTTTCTCAGGAGCATCTCTTTGACCTTTGCCCTAAATGATTTTTCCGACTGAATGTTTTTAAGATCAGCAGGGAAATTGTTATAAATTTTTATACTGCAGTATATAATTGAGTTTTGTGTCATTCTATATTTTGGAATGGGTAATGGTATTTTATTTTGATTCCTAGTTTGATACACTTGACTAGACTGGAAGCTTTTGTATTTCTTGTGCAGAAGAGTAACTGTTTCCAATATAAAAAGACAGGTTAAAGTTAATATATTTTCTTGTAAAAACAGTGGTCTACAGTGGTCTCTAATCTTAGCGCCACAGATATATCGGATGCACCTCTTTTGAATAGTAAAAACTGACCCAGTTTGGATTTTGTGCTGACTGAAATATGGAACTAAATCTGTTGTCACACTCATCAAAATCGAGAAACCCCTAGCCCTGACTTTTTTTTTTGCAAAATAACCTTTCAAATTCTTTATTCTCCAATTTTTACAGTGAATCGATCTTTGGCTACCGAAGCCTGTCAATCTTCATAAACTATTTACACAATTCGAGCCGCTGCTACCTAGACATACGAAGCTCTGGTAAAATTAACAGCAGCAACGGAAAAGCCGAGGATATTCCAAAGGCCATGAACGATTGGATGCCTTCAAATTACACCACAAGTTTAGAGGATTTCACAGGTTGGATACAAAATGAAGAACACGACAAAATGTATGGGGAATTATTGACAACGTTTACCCCCAAAAAGGCAAGCCCAAGGTTTCCAGATATCGAGGCGACATATAAAATCACTAAAATCACTACAGCTAGTGAAGAATTTACTGATTTCCATGCAAGATTCGAAACTTATATTACATGGTTCATTGATGCTGCCAACTTTATCGATTTGGAGGACGATAAGTGGCTCTTCTTCTATGTTTATGAAGAATTTGAACATCCAAAGTTTAAAAAAATCTACAGAACTCCAGTGGGTTTTTGTACGATTTACAAATTTTATGCTTATCCTAGAAACATTAGAGCAAGAGTTAGCCAAATTTTCGTTTTGCCTTCACATCAGAAACTTAGAATCGGTACTGCTCTGTATGAAACAGTTGCCAAAAATCTTAGAGCTATGGAAGAAGTACTTGATATTACAGGTATGGACTTTTCTTGGATTTCTATTGATAAAACATTTATTTATTTGTAATTTTATGATTTGACAAAAAAAAATTTAGGAATAAACAATGATAAAATATTTTAGTTGAAGAACCAACACCGACCTTCCTGAAAATGCGCGACTTAGAAGATTGTGGCCTGCTCCATAAAGAAATAATCAAAAAAAATATCAAATACTTTGCCACAAGCTCCAAAATTATTTTTGAAATGGGTAGAAATCTGAAAATTGGCAAAAGGCAGATACAACGGATCTACGATATTTTGGGCCTGTATTATGCATCACAAGAAGGACCTAAACATTACAATGCTAAATTGGATAATATTAGGTCGAGAATAATTGCAGACCTTGAGGTAAAGCACCTTTCTACATTGTAGTTCAAGCAAAGAACATCTCACACTTCTTATGGATTTCGGTCACCGACAGATTTTTGTTGAAACTTTACTATATTATTCAAGAAGGCGAAATAAGCATTTTCTTTCATTGCATCGACCTTGTAGCGATACAGGGTGATACTGAAAAATCAGGTCAGTGTTTTTTTTTTAATTATCCACCGGTAAAATAATGTAATTCAACTTTGATAAAATAAAAACTTATATACAATGTGTCCAAGATAAGGAGGGCCAGTATGGGGATCTCGGAAACAGTAAAAGATACGATGTGGCTCAAATTAGGAAAAAGTTGCGCAATTTTGTGCTCATTAAAATACTGCTCTGATATTTCAAAAATTCAAAGTGATACGAAAAATATCCGGGAAAACCCGAAATTCGCCCAAAACGATTTTATTTTTTCCTGATCTTATTTGAAGAGATATTTCAAAATAAATGGCACTTCATCATTGCCACTTTTCCTCCTCTACAATATGGCATTATCAAATTGGTAATCCGACGTGTCGTCTTTGGGCCACCATACCATCAGATCACCATACTGGCCCTCCTTATCTTGGACACATTTTATAGGTACTCCATAAAAATGATACGTTAATTTCTAGCATGTACAGGGTGGTCCAATTTGGATACTATTAATAGGAAAAGCTTCATAACTTTTTTATTCATGGAAATAATTGGTTTCCGTTAAGAACTTTCTAGAAGTACTTTTTCAAGCAGAATCCAGTGATATTCTCAGTGTTTTTCTCTTTGGCCCCGATTTCGAGATATCGGGTCCGATTTTTTTTTTTGACAGGACACCTTATATATAAGTTACTTATTGGATAGCTCTGCTTTGGCTGATTCCAATGATACTGCATCAAATCTTCAAAGACACCCTGGCGCAAATATAAATTCGGATCACAATCCGCTTGTAGCGAACATCCAGTTGACACTAAAAAGAAAACGAACAACTCGAGATTGGATCTGATAATGCTAAACAACTTACCAACTCTGGCCGAAGTTAGAAACGAATTAGATAATAAACTGAACGTAATAAACAGGGCAGAGAATCAAGAAGTGGAGACTGTATGAACCGGTATCAGGAAAGTTTTTGTTAACGTCGGCTTGGAATTTCCATCAACACTAGGGTCAGGAAAAAAGCTTGGATGATTGATAAATTCCTTGACTTGATAGAAGAAAGACGTCTGCAGAAAGACCCAGCCAGCATATCGTCAGTTGAATCGTGAAATGAAAAACATAGTCAGGGTAGCTAAAGAAAATTGGCTAAGTGAACGGTATGAGGAAATCGAAGCAAAATATGACTTCAATATGCATACGAAAATTAGAGGAGCTGCTGATGTATACAAACCCCGACAGACCGGCGTTCTGTTGGACAGTCAAGGTAAGATAATTCTTGATGTCAACGACAAAGTGAAACAGTGGAGTAGCTATGTACATCAAAAGCATGTTTCAGGACGAGAGATCAAACATTCCTGAAGAGTATTCCCGAGAAGAACAAGATATATCTGCTAAGGAAGAAGTCCAACATGCCATTGAGTTATGCAAAAACGGGAAAGCGACAGGCCCAGACGGTGTCTACTCAGAACTTATTAAAATCCAGCAATGAAGAATCACTACACGCAATGGTGGGCATCATTCCCTCTGACTGGCTTAAACCAACTTTTGTGACGCTTCCGTAAAAAAAGCTCTGCTTAAAGATGTAGCGATTATCGCCTTGTTAGCTTGATGATTTTTCTTAAGATCATCCATAAAAGAATATACACAAAGTGCGAGTCCTTCACGGGCAGATTCCAATTTAGTTTTCGTAACGGTTTTGGTACAAGAGAGGCCCTGTTTAGCATCCAAGTACTGGATCAAAGATCTAGAGATATTTCTATTCCTGTATACGCATGCTTTATAGACTATGAAAAAGCATTTGACTGGGTACAACATACGAAGCTTATAAAAAATCTCAAGAATGTCGGCCTAGATGATAGAGAACTCAAGATCATTGCAAATCTCTATTGAAATCAGACTGCACAAATCAAGATAGACCAACAAATGTCTGATGAAGTACGGATGAAAAGAGGTGTCCGGCAGGGTTGCATCCTCTCACCATTACTTTTTAATATTCATTCGAACAAAGTATTTGGAAAAGCATTAGAAAACTGAACTGAGGAAATTTCTATGGACGGCGTGAACATCAACAATCTTCGGTAAGCCGACGATACGGTTTTAATCGCTGATTTTCTGGAAGGTCTTCAAGTATTACTTAATCATTTGGTTACTGAAAGTGGAGAATTTAGATCAAAACTGAACACCAAAAAAACTAAATGGATGGTGATTAGTAAGAACAAGGTTAAAGCAGGTATTCTTAAGGTACAGAACCGACAGATCGATCAGGTCCAATCATACATAAACCTAGGATGTCAGGTTAATGAAGACTGAGATAACATGCAGGAGGTTCGTGCCAGGATTGAACAAGCCTAAGCATAATTTGTAAAAATGAAGTCCGTGTTGTGTAGTCAGGTCTCTCCGCACTCCGTTCGCACTTCAGTTCTATGTTGATACGTCTTCAGTATTCTCTATTACGGGATTGCGGCGTGGACTCTGACAGACGCCATGTGTAAAAAGCTAGAGGCTTCTGATAGGTGGACATATGGACGAATGTCAAAAATATCTTGGACAGACATAGTGCACAATGAAGATGTGCTAACGAGAATGTCACAGAACCTGCTTCTCAAGGTCACAATTGAGGGAGAAATCGAAGGCAGACGTAAACGTGTCAAACTTTATATCATTTATATCATTGAAATCAGAAGCAGGGCTATCCAATGAGTTATTAGAATATAGGGTTTCCTATTTAGTAAAATCGGACTTTGGTCAATATCTCGGAATACTGACAGAATACCAGAAAACTGAGAATGTCATCGAAAAAGGGCTTCTAGAAAATTTTTACGGAAATCAATTATATTCATAAGTAAAAAAAAATTGAAGCTTTTCCTTTTAAAAGTGTCCAAATTGGACCACCCTGTACACACTAGAGATTGAAATAATATTACTGTTGGAATATGTAGTGTTCTATTTTAAAAAAATGCTCGATTTCATCAACCAAAGTTAAATTACCTGCAATATTCTACCAGTAGATACCTAATAAAAAAAAAAAAATTGACCCAATTTTTTAGTATCACCCTGTATCGCTACAAGGTCGGTGCAATGAAAGAAAATGCTTATTTCGACTTCTTAAATAATATACTGAAGTTTCAACAAAATCTGTCGGTGACCGAAATCCATAAGAAGTGTGAGATGTTCTTTCAGTTGTTATAAATTCCAATCACAGATTGTTCAAATTGTGCATTGATTTATTGCTTTGTACGAGAATATGATACAAGTTTTGATTTTATTTGAAAAAAACTGTATTTCAGAAAGAGTCAAGGCCAAGCAAAAGGTTATGTAATCACCCAGGATTATCTCAGCAAAAGCTTAAAGTAGACAAAAAGACTGAAATAGAAGCAGAATATAGAAAGTATTGCGACGATGTAGAACCTTCTGTGAAGTATATGGAGGATAAACTTGAAAGTTGGTTGAAGAGGAATGAGTGTAAAGATTAGTGTAATTTTTGTGTTTTATATATTTTTTTATAATTGTTTTGGTCTCAATTTTCAATGTATGTTAACCAGTGATTTTTCGAGGATTTTTTCATTCAAATTATTTGTCTTTTAAATTGAATTTTTTGTCTTTTCTTTAATATTTTTAGAAAATACATTTTTTTATAATATTTTTTGTTCATTTTAGTGGATTCCCAATTACAGAACATAAAAGTGGGTGAATTTAGAAATAATTATTGATAGGGTTCTGTGTAATCACACTGAGAACAGCATCATTTATCACAAAATATCAAACATTTCATCTTAATTACAACAGTAGTGTTGAAATTCGCAATTCCCATTGGACAACAACTTGGTAGAAGAAAAATTGGTAGAGTAGAGATTATTTTCAGTTAGTGAACACTAGATTTTTCCACACCAAAGTTTACTAATTTAATAATAACAAAAAGAAACCTATCTATAGAATGATCAGACTTTATTTATACCCTAAAAAAACATATACATACATAAAATATCCCCTCTCGACAAAAAAATCTCATTATTTGCTCAATTTAGCCGCTCTCTTTTTAATCAGCTTATTGACTTTGTTCAATTCGGTCAAAGTTCTGTTAACATACATCATTTGTTCTTCAACGTTTTCTTTTTTAATTTTAATCGGGTGTTTTTTGGACGATGCCATGTGGATGTAAAGGTTCCAAACGGAGTTTTTCACCTAGAATTACGAATTAGATCCCACTATTTGTAAAATCTATCAAACATATATACCGTATCAATTTCATTTAATTGTTTAACGGCGTTATTCTTGATTTGGGTCACCAATTCCTCAGATTCCAGAGCTTTAATGTTGGCATTTTCATATCTGGCTTGTAAATTTGCTATTTGATTATTCAAACCCATTATAATGAAATTTTTGTCTTCGATTAGTTTCATCTGAAATTTGGATTTGGTTTAATAAAACTTTTGAGGCAAGGATGTTATTGCATGCATTTTTAACCGTAAATAATAAAACTCTACCATGTTAAATTTTGAATTCTCTAAAACTTCAAGAGCGTTTCTCTGATGGAGCCCTAAGTAATTTCTTGCATTGGCTAGGTTGTCATACCTAACAACAATGTCTTTGATTGAGGTAAACTCGAGACTGAGTTCGACAACTTGCTCCAAATATATCTAAAAATGAACCATCTTTGATTGGTTATTGTTGTTATGTTATACTTGCCCTTTGTGGTTCATGTTTTTTTATATTGGAATAAATGTAGGCTCGAGCGTTTGCCATTTCTTCAAGTTTCGCATGCAAATTTTCTATTTCTTTTTCTCTTGCTGCCGTTAGACGTCTATCTTCCGCCAATCTTTTATTCAAACGCATTCTTTTATCGCTATTTTCTGCTACAAACTTTAAAAAAAAAGGATAATTCAATATGCTATGACTCAATTCATATCAAGGTAAAATTGGACACTTTCTTATGGAAACACCCTTTATTTTTAGAAATAGAAAAAAATAGACCCACACTCTGAGGCTCAAAAATCTCTAACAATGTGTTGGAGAAGGACTTTATCTCTGTAAGGAAACTGAAAAAGGTTCTTCACTATTTCATCCGTTTGAGATGATTTAACTAATCTAATCTATTCAATAATAATGGCTTATACGAACTTTATTAAAGGCGATAAATTGTTCTCTAAACTCCAGTTCCAGCGTTTCAAGTTTTGCCCATTCTTTTGAAATAAGCTCTCTCACATTTTTTTGGTGTATTCTAGACTGTTCCAGTTTTTTCTCATTTGCGTACAATTTTCTTTTGAGTCTCATAAGTTTTGCTCCAGGATTGCCTTCTAGAGGCATTTGGCATGATTCAGGATACACACTATATTACAAAAGAAAACATTAGGTAGGTAAGTTAAAATAATTAAATTAAATGTACTTTAATAGAAAGGATATAAAATATTGATATATATACAAATAACAATCTCAAAGAACATATTAATTCCTACTTACTCTTTGAAAAGGGTCAGTAACTTGGATTTCTGATGTTTAGAAACATTTTTATCAGGACGAGTAATGTCCAAATCCATTTGTGTGTTCTCCAGCATAATTCGCAGCTTATCTTTGATATCGGATTTCTCCCAAGTTGGAGTAACTATAATGGGTATAGGAGATGTGTCTGCCATTTTTCAGAGAATTTTACTACAATACAAACTCCCTTTTTTTGAAAAAAAAAAAAAATTTACTGGAAGAAGAACGCATCCAGGGGCCCTTTCTATTTCAACACTATATTTTATCCCCAATTTGTGCGTCTGAATTAATTGGAAACATTCGAAATTTTGTGTAAATTGAAATAACTATTTACGTGTTTTGCTGAGATAAAATTACGAGAAAAGGAAAATAAAAAAATTCCCCCCCGAAAAATGATTAAAAAAAACTGTCAAAAAGACATTCATGTAATTTTTTTATTGCTATTCACTGGTGAGTGTACTGTTAGGTTTAAAAGGTAGTTTGATGTGCAAAAAGCCATAGGTACACCAGTGGGATTATTAATTATAAAATCAATGACATCTTAACACAGATAGACAACGCATCTCATTCATAAACTGGTGTTTATTGTGTGATCAAGACCCCCTATCCGGGGTGTTGAGCTGCTCGAGGGGGCCATGGTGGGGATGCATCAGAGGTGTAAACAAGACCCGCCTTCCCGTCTGAACCCGTCATTCACTTGACCAAAATATTTAAGAAATGTGCAACTCGTTCATCTATCTATCTGCTTCTAACTCATATACATTCAATGGACGCCTGACATGCCATGCAGTAGTCGTTTTTAGTCTTGGAAGCTTCAGTTTTATGAGAGCAAGGTCATGACAGGATAAAATTCAATCCTTAACAATTTGACACTCTAATTGGAGGTGGATCGTTTTCCTAGATGTTGCAAAACAAAATTTTGTTTACTGTAATATGTCTATCTATGGTAATATGTCATTGGTTGAAATACAAATACATTATGAAATTCTATTTTTCCGATGGTTGCGGTTCAACAGACTCCTTTAAGGCCTTCTTCTCAATTTCCTTAATCCTATTATTGATGATTTCGTACTCTCCAATGGCCTGTTTGATGGCAAACAACTGCTTTTCCACGTTGTCGATGTGGACTGGTTTGATTTTTTTCCTTGCGCAAACTTCCAGGTACATTTTCTCGCATGACTCTTTTATGCCAACCTGTATTAAAAATGTAAATGACTGTATTATATTGGAGGGGATCATGCAAATCAAAATCACACACAGACGAAAAACTAGCTTATCCTATTTTTCATTTATGGCGATTAATATGAGCTGTTACCGAGATAACTTTTGAATGTATGCGCTAACGATTAGGATGCAAATAAACCAATACAATTTGAAAAATTTCTTACAATATTAATAACTTGTTCTGTAGCTATCAACTTGCTGTATTTATGAATTCGTTCCCATTTTTGGCAATTCTGCTTAGCATTTTCGTATTTTTCATGTAAAGTGTTTAAGTAATTTGCCATTGTCGATAAGATGTTTAAATAACTAACAGTTTTCTTTTTCTAAAAAAAAAATAATTTCAATTACCTACTTAATTCAAAATTTGAACAACTCACCTTGTGCTTAATTTTACTTTGGATATTTGTGCTGAAAAGTGCAATATACCTAAACTCTAATAATAAGTGTTAGAAATGCATGCAACCTACCACCAAATAAAATAGCAAAAATATCTTACCAAATCAGTTTTAGCCCTCTCCAATTTCATCATATCTCTTTGCTGCATATCATTTAAGTCTCTTTTGGCACCAATTAAAGCCTCATATCTAAAATTTGTCGTTACATATATTTTTAATAAATAATTACAATGAAATTATTTTTGCCTTTTTATTAAATCATTAATGGATTGCATAGATTCCTCTGTCTCAACTACTTCAACCAAATAACTTTCATAAATTCTATATTGCGCAATTCTCTTATCCATTTTGGCTTTTATTTCGGAAACTGCTTCGCATTGCTTCATTAGTTCTTCTGTGCGTTTTTGCCTCTCGTCTCTCAATTGGTTTTGTTCGATTATTTTGTGTTCAGCTCTTTCTTTTTTTTCTTGATTTTCTTTAACAAACTAAAATCATTTATTTTTCAATGGACAATAAAAAATTGACTGAAACGTTGCGCACCTGGTTAAAACTAATAAAGTTGTTTCTGAAGCTAGCCTCTTTGGTCCTGAGATCTTCCCATTGTTCTTCCACTAGGTTTCTTTTGTCATTGTAATCCTTTCGTTTATTTTCTAGTTTTTTAGAAGTTTTTGCTAACTGTCTCTGTACCACGTAGTTTGTTATTGCGACGTTTCGTTCGACGCAATCTCCTGGGTTGTAACCCCTAAAAATTATTTTTGAATGGAATTTAGGGATATAGGATTACATCATTATGTTACATCCCGGTGACGACATATTATGACATAAAAAAAACGTGATTTTATGACTTGGTGTCGTTTATAATGGTTAAAATGACGTTAGATTACGCCATTGAAAAAAAAAAATCACCTATTCGGATATACACGTTTTATCGAGAGGTAAACCGCCAGCCTAATTTGTACACTGAATACATGGAGTACAAAGGAAAACATAAGTATACAAAAATGCATATGAATACGACTGCAAGGAGATACATCGAAGTAGATGAAAATACATTGGAATAGATGCCATTGCAAGGCAATACAAAACTTTACAAAGGAGCGCATGGTACTATGTGTACTACTGACAGGCAGCATAAGAACCCAGTAAACATGATACACTGCTCAACAATCGAACTGGATAATTGCAAATATACTAAAATCCTCATTTAAACAAATAGATAATAAAAAGGTGTTTTATATTATCAATAAACAGTTAATTGATTATCAATAAACTGGTTATTGATAATATAAAACACGTTTTTATTTTCTATTTTTTTAAGTGAGGATTTTAGTATATTTGCAATTATCCAGTTCGATTGTTGAGCAGTGTAGATAATTAAGTAGGTATAGTAGGTACTTAGCTAATGATAAAAATATCGGCCATTAGGTCCCTTATAGCAATTAGCAAATGAAAGAGTTCAATTGTTTGGTAAGTTTTATTATACATCGAATAATACAAACTTGAACATGAAGGAATTATAATTTTTAAAAATCAACATGTTATATTGCAAAATTAACTAACCATTCGGCTAATTATTATAACTGTTTTGTCTCATTCATAATATGATGCTCGATCTTGTATTTTTTAAAGAATGCATAATGCGTCAGATCTTTTCAGTTCAAATGGACCGTTAGCTAAGAACTCAAGAGGACTGTGAAATATTTACGCTATATTTACTTCAGTAATGTCGTCGTATCTAGCTCAGATTTTGAAAGTTGGGGTCGGTATTTGTTGTTCTCTATTTAATACATCTACCCATATACCAGTGATGTTCATAGTCAGCAACGTGATATTTATTATGATTTCTGAGATAATTCCATTTGAAGTAAACTTGAGGTTTCTAAATGCATTCCGCCATCTGAAGAATCGTCAACTACCTAAATATTTCATTTTGTACTTCATCCTCAAAATGTAGACTAGACTCGGATGTGGATGTAGAGCTCAATTTAAATTCTATCCCTACAAAATTTTCAATTTTCTTTAATTCCTTTCGTAGGATTTCTCATGTAAATCTAGGTTTTTTGGTGCGGCAAGCTGGAATGGATTTAGGCAGAATTTGTATTGCTGGATTAAAGTTTTCGGAGTTTATCTGTATAATTACTTTACTTGAGGACTGCTCAGACTTGATGCTCAAATTTGATAAAACTTCAAATTTTCAGAATTCTTCCCTACTAGTTGTTGAAATATGACAACACCGTATTTTCGGTGAAAAGTATCGCAGCGCTTGAATATCTTTAAACGCCGCTTAAGCATGTTCACGAAATTTGGTATCTTATCTAGGGGTTTTTGGGCAAGCGAAATTCAACCGTGATATCAGCATTGTTGTCAGATTTTCCAGTTTTGCGCTACACGTTATTATCTTGGATAGAATGCCCCATTTATTTTTATAGCAATAAATTAGACTTGCCAAATTTGATAAGATTCCAAATTTTCGGAATTTTTTCTCCACTAGTTGCTGAACGATGCCAACACCGTATTTTCGGTGAAAAGTATAGCAACGCCTGATTATCTTCAAGCGCCGCTTAAGCACGTTCACGAAATTTGGTATCTGGGGATTTATGGGCAAGCGAAATTCAACTGTGATATCGGCATTGGTGCCAAGTTTCCCAGGACGAGCTTAAGCGGGTTTTAAAGATATTCAAGCGGTGCGATACCGTTCACTGAAAATGCGGTGTTGGCATATTTCAGCAACTAGTAGAGATAGAATTCTGAAAATTTTAAATCTTCATAAATTTGGTACGTTCAATTTTTTGCAATAAAAATAAATGGGGCATTCTATTCAAAATAACAAAAGGACTACGTTTAGCACAAAACTGGGATGTCTGGCAACAATGCCGATATCACGGTTGAATTTTACTTGCCCTAAAACCTCCAGATACCAAATTTCGTGAACGTGCTTAAGCGGCGCTTGAAGATATTCAGGCGTTGCTATACTTTTCACCGAAAATACGGTGTTGTCATATTTCAGCAACTGGTAGCGATAAAATTCTGAAAGTTTGGAAGCTTATCAAATTTGGCACGGCCAATTCATTGCAATAAAAATAAATGGGGCATTCTATTTAAGATAACAAAACGCGGCTTAAGCAGTTTTGAAGATATTAGTGTTGCAGTACCTGTACCTAACCCTGTATTTTTTTTTTTCTCAAGGAAAGGGCTAAGACGTTAATCCGAGGGGCATAATTTAGGTTAAACCAAGATTCCTTGGAAAAGACATGACGTCATCTGGGGTGCCTGGAGATTTCCATTATGGTTAGGCCAATGAAGTTGCAAGTGTTGCAACCTACCACCTTTTTCAAATAACCTTGAGGTTAAACAGGCAGGCTCTCTGAGCAGACTCGAAATGGTCCCAAAAGGGATAAGTTGTCAACACTGGACGTTTGTTTGACTTGCGCAGATAATCACAATTTGAAATAGTGGAGGAGTGTGAGGACGAGCCTAAACATTGGAATTTTGAAGAATACACTGTTACAGGAGTAGAAAGACCAATGATCTAGACTAATGCTATGTGACGTCATGGACTTCGGCGCGGTATTTATACCAAATAAATGCTGACTCGTCTATACACTTTAGTAAAATTGATGTATACCTATAGTGGTATTTACTTAAGTAGTTGACATTATTATTATCTTTATCTTTCATAATCATCAATTACACACACTACTTTTGTTGGTGACAGTTTTGGATAAATTTTATTTTTAGTACATTGATCGGATATCTTTGCCTTTGTCTAATTGTTAAATGTTAATAAAAACAGGATACAACGGCCGTGCCGGTCTCAACGTTTCCCCAAGAATGGAATAGAAATACACACATATGAAGGATAATACACACTACTAAGGATTGCTTATCAGCCTCGTTTTTGCTAATCGCCTTCATATTCGTGTGTAACCATTTCCGACGTCATAACTAAGTCGTCAACTGTTTGCACTAGCGGTCGTAGTTTAGAATTTAAGTTTATAAAGAAAATTATTATTTAATTTTGATTAAACATAATAGGCAGAGACGAAGATGAAAACGAGATCTGAAAAAGGGTTGTTCGAATGTTAATTAATGTAGTAAAACCAAGTATGCATAAAGCGAAAGCCCTCGTGGTGCAAACAGCCTACGTCAAAGCGAGAAACGAGGTGTTGCCTACAGATTTGTAGTAGTGTGTATTACCCTCGACAAGATATTAAAATACGATTTCCGACTCGACGAATTTACATGAGCTAGACAAAGATAGATATATCGATTCACGTCGGACACGAGTTAAATTGAATTAATGTATGACGCAATCAATGGTTTGAAATGATTACTTATAAGAAATTCGGCATCCTCGCATTTTTAGGACTCTGACGTCACAGTCCTAGCCCGTGCTTCCGCAGCAGTTCAAAAATTCGATTTTCAAATAATTTTATTTGCAAAAATGAGCTTTTTTTTTGAAAAAAAGTATACAGATGTTATTGGAATGAATCTGAATACAAAATGGGTTGAAACTGTGAAAGTGGCCTATGAGAAAAAGTAAAAAACAGATTTGATTTACCAATATTGTGCTTACCCTGCATATTTGAAAGACTCTGCAGCTTTTGAAGCAAAATACTCTGCCGTATATTCATAATTAGGTTTGTTTGGAAAGTACAATTTATCAAAAACCGCTTTCTTCTGCATGGAAAAATTCGTAATCGCTCATCAATATTTTATAAAAAAACTATTAACTGACAAAATTATGTCAATAAAATAATAAAATATCGTTGCCAAGGGAGATTTAATTTTTTTAGCATTTAATTGATTACGGCCCTGTAAAAGTAGCTCTGTTCGCGCACCACACTCCGAACGATTCCGAAACCGTTTGGAATGGAACGATATTCCAACGAACGAACAAGAAACGAATATTCAGAACTCTACCTCCCAACAAGTAGCCGCACAAAACTGCAGAGCCTCGAACTTGTTTTCTGTTAATTTTATAAAATTAGATCAGAAGCGAAGTCATCCGGAACCAATTCTAGTTGATTCAGAATTTATTGAACTGCGAACCACTTAATTTGAACTGAACTGTCTTTGGAACTGTGTTTGCGATTAGTTCCGAACTGTTCTGAATACTTAGGCCCGAATTTATAGTCGATGCTCAAGGTCGCGTTTTGGCTCAAGTACGACTTGACGTCATATTTTTGTGTTTCCAAACAGCACGGAACGATGCTCGCAACTGTCAAACATCGGAGTTTGAGCCAAGAACCCGTCTATGAATACCGGGCTATTTCTAAACGCCGTTTTACAGCTTGCAATTCTATCTGCAATATGACAAGAAACTTGAACGAGGGCATGCGCAGAAGTGAGTCACCTGATTGGTTTCTACAAGATTCTTGAAACTTTGAAACTTGAATGGCATTCGTCAAAGCCCGTATTCCTTTCACACCTAGGAGGAGCTCCGGAACAGCTCCGGGGCTTCACGCGCTTATTCCTTTCGAAAAGTGTTTGCTGCACCACGCATCTGTTCCCTGCAAATTGGGGGCGACTAAACACCGGAGCGAGTAGCTCGAGTGCTCAAACTCTTGAAAGGAATACAGCTATTGCATGCAATCGGTTTGGTGCCATTTTAATTCAAACATCATTAACACAACATTAAAAACAAAAAAGTATGGTTAAGGTTAGAGAAGGAAACAAGTCAAATTGCAAGGTGTAAAATGACGCGCAAGAAATCTTGAATGCAATTTTTTTGCATTCAAGTTTTCTTGCAAGATGTAAAACGGCCTTTACCGAACCTTTCAAGAGCGGCTTTCGGGTGCAGAGTGCGATGCTCCTAGAACACTTCACACTCCATACTTCATACTTCATACTCCATGCGTTTTGTACTCGAACGCTTGGAACCGAATGAGTCAAACTAAAGCCGGGAGTACTTCGGAGTAACTCGGGAGCGCTCAAAGGGTGGCACCCAAAAGAAGCTCCGAGGGTTTCATTTGTACCGGCACCGGCTAGATCTGTTCAACGGTGAAAATTAATAATAAAGGAAATAATTAGTTTAGAAGCATATTTTTATATTTTGCAAAGAAACAAAACCATCCAATTTGGACAAAATGCGATTTCGTTCTTGAATTTTAAGGTGCTTTCTTTTCAGAGTTTTGAAACACCAGGCTTCGACGCCCTGGGGCGCATCAGCGCACGCTCTGAAAATAACGGTTATTAGGGATCATATAATTAGGTGCTAGCTGACGTCTCATACATAACCTCACTTCCGTTGGGGGGACAAACAAAGCGTTTGAAAGGTCCATTTAACACACAGGCGCTAGCTTGTCACAAAACAAACATGTCATTGAGGTTATGTGTGAGACGTCAGCTAGCACCTAATTATCTGGGGCGAGTTCAGGAATGACACACTCGGTGTGAGTGTGACACCGGTGCGACGCACTATCCGTTCATAAATGCTATAGGCACACTGAGTGCGCGCACTCTATCCCGTTCAGAAAGTACTTTGGGCGCGCTCAGGTGTCGCACCGGTCACACCATAATTTTTTGGTGTGGCTGCGGTGTGCTTGTGTAATAATGTCAACAATGTCAACAATTCCTTCCATAATCCCATTGATCCCACCAAATATAAACAAAACACAAATAAAAATTAAAGTTTTTTGTTCAAATTAAAAAAATGAACAACAAAAAAAGGTAATCCTAAGGGCCATATTCTCCGTAGTCCATGAAGCCTGGCTTAGTGGAAAAGCTCTTCGGACTAGTTCGGAGTGTTCGGACACTGGAGCTGTAGAGCTTCGACGCCTCGCTGCGGCGCTAACGGTGAGGATAGACTACAGTGACTCTATTACCCACACGCGGCCATCTTGTTGCCACCTATTGCTTATTTCAAATATGAATATAAGGGATTTGGGTGAACATCCATCATAAAACATAGAAAACAACGTATTTGATGGACCTAATAATAGTCATCAAATACGTCGATTTCAATTTTTTATGATAGATGTCTATTTAAATCCTATAAATTAATATTTAAAAGTAACAAGAGTTTGGGAACAAAATGGCGGCGGGACCTCTACTGTCGCCACCTTAGACAAGGAAAGAGAGGGGACTCGTAACACAGCAGGTGAAAATGAAGCAGTTTGCCACCAAAAAATGTCTGCTTTTTTTGATAACATAACCTAGAAAGCTTATTGTTTTTTGCCTGTTAAATGACAAGCGTCTGCGGATCACACGGAGGCAACGCCACGAATATGATCGAAAGTGTACGAACGAAACTTTTAAAATTTGGCGCGACGCGACAAACGGAGGTTCACTAGCATTTTTGTTTACCGCCTCTTTATTTATTTGACACAAAATTATTAATTATAATTCGATAGTTTGTCTTATTATCATTATCAATGACATGAGAGGGAGTTTTCGAGCAATTATCACCTAAAAAAACACATGGAGAGCACAATTCACAACAAAAATACATCTACAAAAATAATGAAGTCCATAAGATGCCCATTAAACTGTGATTTTATTACCGACAGCAAAGACATTATCGTTTTACATATAAAAATTTTCACGGAAACAACTTAGACCCCAAGAATTTAACATTTAATAATAAGGAAGACTTTTTTGAGTGAAAAAGAAAATTAGAGCAAAAGATACCATCAGAGCACAGTTTATAAAATGAACTGTTTAAACTGTTGAAAGGAAAAATGGTACAATAATTATTTATTTTATTTATCACCAAGATGGAAATTTACATAAACGCATTAAATTTACCTTATGTAGGTACCTATTACGCTTACATAAACAGGCTTTATTGAGTGTTGACTTATTATTTAATAGCCTCGCTCGCAGGCTCGCTCGGTCATAAAATTATTCGTACAATAAGCCTTTCTTTATTGTAGGTACCTACTTGTTATTTAATGCTATTTATATAAATAGCTATTATTTAACAATCTAGATTAAACACTGTGTCTTTCAAAATCTTACAGAAACAGCTTAATTGTGATACAGCCTACAAATCAACTGTGGAGGGCGAAGGGCCATGTATCATTGGATTATTCCACCTGACTTATCAATTATTTTTTTGTACCTACCCGGGTTCTGGCTTGGGCTTGATACCCCATCCCAAAAAAATTAATTCTTATCAGTCTTTCTAAAATTTTTAGTTAAATATTATCGATAATAATCGATATTTTACGAAATGGAAATTGCAAAATAATCCTAGAATATAACAATAAATATTCATCAGGATTCAGGACAAGGAGGTGGAGGCGTCAATAAACAAGGAGCAAAAACGTTATGGACGCTGTATTCGTGGCGTTGCCCCCGTGTGATCCGCAGACGCTTGTTGTTAAATGTAATCCCATCGACTTTTTTTTCTCTGCGGGTTTTGCAGCCATACGCTAGCAATCCACCATGCTGAATATCACAAAAATGTTAGTCTGAAGTAAAATTTACATAGTGGCACCATGAAAAATTGTCGCCATTATTTGGTGGCAAACGGTCACAACCAGCTGCTAGTGCAGGTAAAGGATGTTACGCGTCCTCTCTCTTTCCTTGTCTAAGGTCGCCACTGTATGTAAAGGTTTATTTAGCCACTGTAGGATAGACGACCCCGGGTCTTGACGCCCAGATTAAAAAGAACGGTGGTTTACATTCCAAAATCATGATCCAGGGCGCTCTGAGGCTCCCATGCCCCTAAAAAGAAAGCAGCTTTGAAGGCAGCCATTTTCGGATCATCCAACAGCTGCTACCAGTTGTATTCCTTTCACACGTGGGAGGAGCTCCGGAACAACTCCGGGGCTTCACGCGCTTATTCCTTTCGAAAAGTGTTTGTTGCACCACGAATCTGTTCCCTGCAAATCGGGGGCGACTAAACACCGGAGCGAGTAGCTCGAGTGTTTCAAGCTCTTGAAAGGAATACAACTAGTGCTAACTTCACACCGGTAAACGTCAAATCGAGGTCAGACAAAAGTCAAAACAACAAACAAACAACGCAAACTCGAACGTCGACGTCGACTTTTTTTTATACGGATTTTTCATTCATTGAAAATTGGTCGGCCATGTTTGTTGGGTGTCGCATTTTCATCTGTCAAATCGTGAAGTAGCCCTTGGAAGTAAAAAAAATACAGAAAAGTTTGCCCCCTATAACAAAATACATTTTCCTGCAAAGGCCCGCTCGTTCCGGGCACAGTTTTCCGTTCGTTTTTGTGTAAAACCAGTGAATAAACATGACGCAGCCTACCCTGCTACCAATCAAATTTCAGGAGCACTTGCAGGTAAGAAAATACTGAGTCAATACGCCCCCCAAATCACCTTATGTTGGAGTATTTAAATGCTTAAAATTAATTTTCATAATGGTCCTAGGCTTTTATATTGGGAATCATTAGAACACCAAAAATTATTTTTTTTGTGTTTTATCACTGCCGGCAGTCATATCTCATATCTGACATTTGTAAAACTTCCACGAATTTCTTCTTGTATGTGGGGGCGGATTATCAATAAAATGTTGGTGATTCATTGCTTTCTTTTAGCATTTAAATTGCAAGTAGAAGTCATGTACGCCCCTGGTCAAGGAAAAGCCAAATCAAATTTTCCTTTGGTTTGGTGAAAATAAAGTAGTAATTAGGTCAAAGGATGTCATGGCATTCAGGGTGGTAGTGTGGGGGGGTTTTCAAGTATTTTGCCTGTAATTATTGATTTTTTTCTTTCCCTGATAAGTCAGAATATATCATTCAAATTAGATTATATTTTTGGATGAGAATAGCTCTGTAAATACAAAGGCCATACTGCTTTCGATTTATTTGTTTTGGAAGCTGGACTATTTTCAGGAAATTTAAAGCGTTTTTGATTTTCCTGGATGTTTTTGCCATTGTCAAGGAATTTTGAAAATAATAATAGTTAATTTTTTTTTTTGGTACAGGGTGTTTCAACAAAGACTGAATAGGGGCTTATTTTTGACCATCCTTGTATCTTTGAAAAAAAAAATCAAAATAGCCAATTGCAATATTTTTTCTCTGGAGAATTCAAAAATGGTATCAAAAAATCATTAGAACCAAAAACCAGAGAGTTACGCCATAGACTATTTTTCAAATGGAACACCCTGTTTTTTTACCTTTTTGTGATACAAAGTAACAAACTGTAGTTTCTTTTGACTTTAAAGTGAACAAAAGGCAGACATACAAAAGGAGTGATTACCTATACCATACCTCTATCACTTATGATAAACCTGAATTAAACAATGTTTTATCCTTACTTTAATAATAGGTTTATCATACGTGATAAAGGTATGGTATAATCACATTTTGTATCTCTGCCTTTTGTTCATTTCATAGTCATATCATGTCCTATTTAGTATTTTGTCGCCATTACAGGTTTACAAGATATCCAATAAAAACATGCACATTTTTAAGAAAAAAGATGAATGTATAAAACAGACATAAAAATAAATAAAGTTTGTTTCACCAGAGTTTGTACTTGCCACCAGCATTTGTCTTCCTTGTTCAACAAATAAAAATTGACTGAAACAAAACAATGACGTCAAAAACGTTCGTCGATTCTTAAAGCAGACGTCATTCATTTTAATTTGTCAAAAAAATTGAATGTGTCATATGAATTAATCTACGACAACCCTTTTTTGTCAAGTTTCAAGGTCAAGTATGAACCCTGGTGAAACGAACTTTACATGAAAATAAACAGGTTGAAAAAATAGTCACATAAAGTAGGAGATAATAAAAATTTTAAATATATTATTTCTTAGTCATAATCTAGGGTCAGGTACAGGGTGATCCAGTATAAAGTGAACACCCCCTACCTTTTCGCTAAAAAAATTTTTTTCCAAAAAATCAAGATAGCCATTTGGTGTATTTTGTTTCTAGGAATTTGAAAAGGTTTTTCGAAATTTAATTAGATTTTTCGTTAAAGCGCTGTGATGACAAAAGTCATTTTTTTAAATAGAATAACCTATATTTAAATCCATTTTTTAAAAGTCCCTACTTTTCTCATTTCAAATATATATAGCTTGTTTATCTTTATTTAACACTTAAGATTCGAATAAAAATAGCTGAAAAGGTATCAAGGTAAATCTAAATAATTTTACCTTTACTGGTTATTAGGTTTTATAATATCGGTTTTATATTTATATAATCGGGTCTTCAAAAAAAAAACGAATCAAAGATTGCTTTGGTTACGAAAACGTATGTCGCATTCCTGTTTCTCCATTGGTTAGAATTTTTGACATGATATTTTGACATTAAAGGTCATTGACAAAATTAAAGAAAAATATTGCTAAGATATACGTTTAAAAAACCATAGCAATCTTTGATTGGTTTTTTTTTTGAAGACCCGATACCTTTTGGGCTATTTTTATGGAAATTTCCAAGTGAGAATATATCGAAAATTACTAAAATAAAGATAAAGGAACTATATATTTGAAATGAGAAAAATAGGGGCGTTTCAAAAATTCATTTAAATATAGGTTATTCCATTTAAAAAAATTACTTTTGGCGTCACAGCGCTTTAACGAAAAATCTAATTGAATTCCGAAAAACGTTTCCAAATTCCTAGAAATAAAATACATCAAATGGCTATCTTGATTTTTTCAAAAAAAAAAAATTTTGGCGAAAAGGTAGGGGGTGTTCATTTTATACTGGATCACCCTGTACATCATAACTTATATATTGTAATAAATTACATACAGTTTTATTGATTCTCAGTATGTTAAAAATAAATAAGATGTCAGTGAAGGTCCTCTTTTCTAACCTTATAACATCGAAATTCTCCAGTTGTGAGCTGGTGATTCGGAATGACACGCTCTACTGGGATTATGGATTGTACAAGGGAATTAAACAAGATAAGAATCACATCAGAGTTGCGAAAGTTGTTACATGTGTGTAGGACAAATCCAAGTTTCCTCATATCTTCTATGTACAGGGTATTTGATTATATTTGGCACCATACCTACAGCCTTTACTATTTAAGATAGAAAAAAATTGTAAATACAAAACTTGACAGTTTTTTTCTATATTTTCTTTTAACGTTATCAAAAAAAACAAAATCGCATCGGAAAATGGAGAAACGTAGACAACTTCGATTTTTTAAATGGAACACCCTGTATATTTTTCGATAAAATGAAAGACCTTTTCTTCCTGATTACAAATATATATATGTTGATCATATTTGTATGAGCCATTTTTGACATATCTCAGCTTAAATTATAACTAAATTGCAAAGAAATTTTATAAAGATAGAGATCCTTATGGAACTTCTTTGCAAATTCTTTAAAATTTAACCTAAGCGTGTCTCAGCGCTTCGCTGCAATCAGTAGGTGTTAAGAGATGACTCAAAGTTGGGGAACTATCTGGACTGATAAAGTTAATACGCTATCGTATCTCTATCAGGGCAGGTACTCCCTGACGCCCCAGGCTTTGACCTACAGTGAAAAGGCTTTCTAGATTTTCCTGTAGGGCTGGTTTGGTTATTTAGCTTTGCAGGGGTATACCCGACGTTTGACTGTCCGCCCTTTGTTTAGCCTCACCACCCGAAGGGACGTTGAATGTGGTAATAACTAAAATATTCAAGTTTCCGTAATCTCCGTCCTGTAACAATATATATTAGCTATTTAAAACTGTTCTGGTGTTTCCCTGATTACTCCTCCCTTCCCGTTCTGCTTTTCAGGGTGAATAGTCGAGCTACACAGCGAAGCAGAGACGTTTCTTTCGTGACAATATGTCAATAATTGCTCATGCAAATGTTATCAATATATACAGGGTGTCCCAAAAAGATACCGACAAACTTTAAGGGGTAGTAGGGGACATCAAAACAAGCATTTTTGTTTATATAAACATATGTCCGCAAATGAGCCATTTGGGCTGTAGAGCAAAAAAACTATTTTCATTCTTCGCAATAATCAAATCACTGTTTACTTCTTAATTTTGGTTTATTAACAAATCAATTATGGTTTACAATAATTGTTCAAAATGTTGACTATTTACTTCAATGCAAAAATTGCACCGTCGGGTCATTGACTCGCGAACCCTTTGGAATATTCCGGGAATAGCTTCTACATGGGTACAACTCGCCAGTATCCTTGCTAACAGATCTTCCTCATTACGAACAGGTGTTTCGTAGACTAAACTTTTCAGTCAATGGCCCGACGGTGCAATCTTGGCATTGAAGTAAATGGTCAACATTTTGAACAATTATTGTAAACCATAATTGATTTGTTAATAAAGCAAATTTAATAAGTAAACAGTGATTTAATTATTGCGAAGAATGAAAACAGTTTTTTTGCTCTACAGCCCAAATGGCTCATTTGCGGACATATGTTTATATAAACAAAAATGCTTGTTTTGATGTCCCCTACTACCCCCTAAAGTTTGTCGGTATCTTTTTGGGACACCCTGTATATATTTGGAATCAGAAAGAATAGATCTTTCATTTTATCGTAAAATATACAGGGTGGTCCATTAAAAAAGTCGAAGCTGCTTACGTTTCTCCATTTTCCGATGCGATTTTGTTTTTTCTGATAACGTTATCAGAAAATATAGAAAAAAACTGTCAAGTTTTGTATTTAAATTTTTTTTCTATCTTAAATAGTAAAGGCTGTAGGTATGGTGCCAAATATAATCAAATACCCTGTACAGCTTTTCTATGTATATGCTGATTAAAATTGGAATTCTTTGTAAAATATATACCTAAATCTACTATATCCTGCTCTCTAGTAAGACTATTATCACAGATTTTATAATCACAAATTATTGGCTGTTTAGCACGACAAAAACGCACACATTTACACTTATCAATATTCAGTTGCAGGTTATTATTTTTGCAATATTGTACAAAAGAGTCCAAATCGAAATAAATGACTATCTGACTGATCTTTGATAATTCTATATTTTCAAATCATTGGGCTGGGATCACGACGATCAAACGGGCTGGGATCACAACGAGTAGAATTCTACTCACTTGTGACCTATTTATCGCGTACAGTACCAGGGTTGGAAAAAACCTGGGTTTTTTTGAAAAAGTCCAACCCGTCGGGTTTTTTTTGGGTTTTTTCGGGCTCACTGAGGGTTTGCGTTTTTTTCTCCAAATTTGATTTTTAGTTTCTGCTTTAGCAAAAGTATTACAAAAATTATGCCTTGTTACAAAACTAAAATATTCGTAGGTAATACCATAAGAGCTCAGATTTAGCCGGATATTTTTTGGCTTGGTCCCGAATACTTACTTTTAGGAAATTTAACGAGAGCTGTTCCGACAAAATCACGAGAGCGCAGCT